AAGAGGCTTCATCGGGACAAGAAACGAAAATAACAATAAAATAAGTTAAAAAATGTCTCTGATGATTTCAGCGCATTTTTAATGTGACAGATCAGTAGCCTTTAGGCCGTACGTACGCTTCGGTCGATTCAAAATCCATCAAGCGAATCGAATTAATTATAAATTGTCGATACAAAGTGATTCCCTGCATCTATTCTTTAGATACACTATGCTCCTGATAATATGTAACATTGGGCTCTCTTCTTAATAAAAGTTAAAAGTTTGAATCGTCTGAACAGCAACCGAAAACCGAATCAAGCCAGTTTTGTTTGTCCTTTTATTCTGTTATAAAAAAAGATTTTTCAAGAATCATGTTTCCTATGTACTTATATGTACACGTTTTGTACCTATAGGTCCTTTAATGTAATTCCTATCTTTTTATTGTACCTATCTAATTGGAATTTGCTTATCTATAAATACATAAAATAAGTCCCGTGCTGGTTGCTCTATACAGAGAAAAACACAAACCATCCATACATCCATAAGTGCAATGTTATGGTTTTTTTTACTTTTGTGCAGTATGTATGAATAACAGAAAATCAGGCAAAATGTTAATTTATATATGAAGCTTGTACTATGCTTCTACAGAGTTGTACACACTAAAAGGTATTTTAATCTTTTTATTAATAATCAGGAAAGAAGAAAAATGTATCTTAAAAAGTATTTTACAGAGCCATAAGTAAGCTTCTGTAGTCATTTTTTAAGCTTTGTGAAAGTCTAGGTAAACAGGTAGCAAATATAATGGAGTAAATGGGAATGGGTCGTTGTTTTTTTAAGAAAGGTGAGAATTTTTGGTAATATGGTGAAAAGGTGATAAAAATAACATTTTTGTGAGGAATTTGTATGTAGGTATATTATAAATTATATATAAATAATAAAAGCTAGATACTAACTATAAAACTATAAAAAAGAAACATGATCGTCATACAGAAATAAGTAGGTATGTACAATTATCCATAAAATTAGTTCGTCATAAACATATTCCATAAGTAAATCTAATTTTCGGCATCGTCGCGAATCAACCAATTCCGGCAATAAATATAACATTGGAAGTAAAACTCTTGCAGCTTTGTCACCATTTGGTCGGGCCAAAATTTGTCATCCCTAAAATGCTAGTGTGCAAAATACCTTGAATTTCGTAGTAACAGTTTATGACACAATAATCAATTACCTAATTTGAGTTTACAGGCCTCTAGTGGTTCGTTAATATCGCTACTATTCAATGAACTTTTCAATATCTGAGGTATCGCCAACTGAACCATCTGGTGAATACGCCAAAAATGGTTTCTCGTCATCTATATCCGCATCTCTTCACTTTCAGTTGGTACATTTCCTCAAATTAGTCCATATGCTGAGTGTATATTTGTATTGAATATTATATAGTGGCAACTGTTTTAGAAGTGCATGTTGTTTTACGCAATTTGCATACTTTTATATTCCCAAGATTTGAGGCAGTCAATCTTCTCTTCCGTTCCACTTTCCATAAATCACTTTTGGAGTGATTTACAGTGCCATTCTCAATTTCCAAACATTTTTATTTGATATCCTTCTTCACACATACCTAAATCAGGTAGGTAGGTATAATGTCATCAATCTTGGTCAGCAGCAGCAAATAATTTCCCTTGGAAATTCCCTAAAAAGAAACATTATTCGACACAATTCTGTATAGATTTTAATATACCTACAGACTGTTTCACCCAAACCGTTACCTAAAAGCATTGATTATACACATCAATGTTAAAAGCATTGTATCTAACAAATATACAATGCTAAAAGTATTCAGACTTCCAATAGTACCTACTTTAAATTTGAAAATTTGCATGCCAACATAAGTACCTAGTTTTTGATGATCTATCGAAATATAATATTATCATACCTAATCGTTTCACTTTCGGTTTACCACTGAATAACGAAATCAAATTCACACAAAGGTTTTACCGAATGTCGATAGCAACTTTCTTATTTTAAATAGAACACCCTGTACCTACTTTATCGCATTTTCGAAATCTACATCGTTTTATACCACATTTTCCTGTATCCATCATCAAATATGTTTTCAAATTATTCAAGATTTTTTAAAATGTTTGACTGCTTTTCTTTTGAGTCCTGTACCTAAGACTCTGTTAACTTGAATTTTGGTCAATTTTAATGTCAAACCAAACCTTAAAAAGTTGATTTTTGCAAATGAAACTTGCTTCATTTTTTAACTTTCAAATGTCGAAAAAATTCTACATTGATTTATTATTATATTTCCTATACCTATTGTTATGCTTTTGGTTTTATTTAAGATTTTCTAAAATTGTGACCGTTATATCATATTTATATTAATTTTAAAATTTTCTTAGGAGGCCTTGAAATAAATGCGTTAGTAGATGTCATTGTACCATTCTTGGACACATTACCTAGGGACAGAGCTGGGCAGAATACTTTCAAAAAGTATTTGAATACTAAATAGTAAATACTTTACACAAATCAAAGGTCAAAAAGTATTCAAATACTTGTCACTCAACTACATTAAAAATTTAAAATAGTATACTAGATAAAAAATCAAGTTATACTTTGTATGGGGTTAGCTTTTTTTATATTTCTATTGTTATATACAAATACAAGGGGAGTAAAAGCGTATTATTATTATTATATTATTATATAGGGTACCTACCAGGACCTTTCTTATTCCAGTTATATCCTTAAGAATACGTGTACCAGTTTTCAAAGCGATCGTACGTCGTGCACATGATACATACGCCTTTCTGAATTTAATGTTAATCCTAGCGATTTTGGAACAGATCCATTTTTGACCATCCGTTTGTCCGTGTGCATGATAGTTTGTTTAGAAACGTGCGATCGCTTTGAAAATTGGTACACATGGTCTTAAGGATATAAGAAAGGTCCCTATTGTTTTTAAGTTACGTAGACTATCGAGTTCGGTATTCAGATTTTTATATTTGATTTTGTGACAATGGAAACTTTCCCTAAACATTTCTAAATTGTTCTCAAATATTTGAATAACTTAAAAGTACTGCCTATATTTGAGGCCGGAAAAAAAATTGTCTGAGATCGACCGGGAAAACATTTTCTTATAGAATGTGGCCTGTAGAATCCATAATTTCAAACAGTTCCAAGATTAGGCTACTAGTTCAAAAGTTACAGCCCTTTGAATTTTTTTTCGAAATTGGTTTCTAGTCTATAACTTTTGATTGAGAAGTCTGATCGAAAAAGTACAAATTGATTTGGATTCTACGCACCAAAATTAATAAGAAAAAGTGTTTTCCCGAGAAATTTTGGTGCAGTCGATTTTTGGTAAAAAAGGAAGGTTAATAACTGCCCTTTTTTGAGCCCCGAAAAAAAAATCTCTCAGATCACCCGGAAAAAAGATTTACTTATAGAATGTGGCCTGTAGAATCCATAATTTCAAACAGTTCCAAGATTGGGCTACTAGTTCAAAAGTTACAGCCCTTTGAATTTTCTTTCGAAATTGGTTTCTAGTCTATAACTTTTGATTGAGAAGTCTGATCGAAAAAGTACGAATTGATTTGGATTCTACGCACCCAAATTAATAAGAAAAAGTGTTTTCCCGAGAAAATTTGGTGTAGTCGATTTTTGGTAAAAAAGGAAGGTTATACACTGCCTTTTTTGAGCCCCGAAAAAAAATTGTCTCAGATCGACCGGGAAAATAAATTTTCTTATAGAATGTGGCCTGTAGAATCTATAATTTCAAACAGATCCAAGATTGGGCTACTAGTTCAAAAGTTACAGCCCTTTGAATTTTTTTTCGAAATTGGTTTCTAGTCTATAACTTTTGATTGAGAAGTCTGATCGAAAAAGTACGAATTGATTTGGATTCTACGCACCCAAATTAATAAGAAAAAGTGTTTTCCCGAGAAATTTTGGTGTAGTCGATTTTTGGTAAAAAAGGAAGGTTATACACTGCCTTTTTTGAGCCCCGAAAAAAAAATTGTCTCAGATCGACCCGGAAAAAAAATTTTCTTATAGAATGTGGCCTGTAGAATCCATAATTTCAAACAGTTCCAAGATTGGGCTACTAGTTCAAAAGTTACAGCCCTTTGAATTTTTTTTCGAAATTGGTTTCTAGTCTGAGAAGTCTGATCGAAAAAGTACGAATTGATTTGGATTCTACGCACCCAAATTAATAAGAAAAAGTGTTTTCCCGAGAAATTTTGGTGTAGTCGATTTTTGGTAAAAAAGGAAGGTTATACACTGCCTTTTTTGAGCCCCGAAAAAAAAATTGTCTCAGATCGACCCGGAAAAAAAATTTTCTTATAGAATGTGGCCTGTAGAATCCATAATTTCAAACAGTTCCAAGATTGGGCTACTAGTTCAAAAGTTACAGCCCTTTGAATTTTCTTTCGAAATTGGTTTCTAGTCTATAACTTTTGATTGAGAAGTCTGATCGAAAAAGTACGAATTGATTTGGATTCTACGCACCCAAATTAATAAGAAAAAGTGTTTTCCCGAGAAATTTTGGTGTAGTCTAATTTTGGTAAAAAACGGAAGCCTATAGCTATATGCAATTCAGCAGAAATAGTATATCAATTATTGATACATAAACAAAGCCGTTGTAGGAACGAAAATATACGTAGGTATAATTGGCTAGGTATGTATGAAACTTCTTGTTTTGTGTAAGTAGCTACATTACTTTTTCCGGGCTGAAAGCTTGTACTAGATTATTTTGTATTGATAAGAAAAAAAATGTTAAGTAATTTTAAGATTTCTTTATCGACCGTCTGCGCGCGAGGTAATATAAGTATTGTTTTAATTTGTTTTTGCCTCGAAATAAATTTTTATTTGAATCCATTGTGCGACCGGGTATGAGTTCTCATGTCGGATGTTCCCCCGAATTATTAAATTAAGTCAATGTTGTGATTTTTCTTTATAGTAGATGCAGGAAGTGTATGAGGAGAAAATCTTACAAAACATTTTATATACCTAGTCCTCTAAAATAAAACACTAAGAAACATTTTATTAATTTATCTAACAAATGTCTATACTCTTCAAAGTCTAGCTTGACACAATTTATGCCATACTGTATCCGATTTTCAGTAAAATTGGAATGTTGGTGGTATTAACAGCAAATAGTTACAAATTAAAATAGCAACCAAAATCTGTTTAAACCATATTCTACATCTTTGAGTTGAACACTTAATACTGTAAAAAGTACACTAACAATTAACATGTTTTCACCAATAATAAAAGCTTAACAATTATAACTGTACATATGACTATACACTTTTATATACAAACAACATTAAGGAAATTAGGATTTGCCGGAAATTGGAGGAGCTGCCTTGGAATCTCCACTTTGTTCCTTCTCCAACTGCTTTCCAAGATATTCCCAATTATGAACCATCAATTTCTGAACCGCTAACAGTGCTTCGTAACGAACATTTGGATCTTCGTGGGCCAACAACTGCATCACTAACTGTTTACCACCTAACTGCTCGATTACACTAAACAAAGGCAATCTCAGTAAAACTAGCTTAGAACTTTGATTCTTACTGTTTTCCGCGGGGATAGTGACGAACATATTCGCCTATATCAAAACTGGCAACGCTCAACACCAACGCATCCTTGCTAGTTTCGAGAAGGTGAACAAGAATGCGCAGCAGCTCGTAGTTTTTCTCGTTCAAACGCTGAGCGTTCTCGCGCCAAAATTTACTTTTATGTACGGGAGACCACTCTAAACGTCCAGATTTCACCTGAAACACATCGATTTATATGTGTACTCGAAGAATCGGCCGTCTCACTTCGGTTGCGTATTCATCAAACGAGCTCAGGTCCTGTACAGACGATTGTAATTTCTCGGTCAAAAACTCCACGTCGCTAGACACATCTTCGTCATCGTACTTGCGCTGCTCCAGAATTGTCAACTGCTTCAAAACCTACAGCACATGTAAATCACCAGCTGAGAGGCTAACAACACGTTACTATCAAAGACTATTAAGTATAAAGAGATTGTTCTGGTAGTAGGTGATTGTGATTTCCTCTTTTTAGCATGAACATAGGGTCGTTGATAAGTTCATATGGTTTCATGCACATGCGCACACACAGAAACGCTTGTTATTTTTGTTTTGTAAATTTTCTTGGATGAGTCTTGGCAACATAGCATTTGGTGTAATCTCAAACGCACTGTATAAATCTGCATTTGTTAGTACTGAACTGTGTCACCGCGAAAATCCTAGCGGCGGGTTTCCTAACTAATAACCTTTGTCTATAGTGTTGAATCTCTTTATATTGAATATTCTTTGCTCCTACCAACCTTACATTGTACCATGGCGATGCAATGTTCCTTCGACACTTGGCTATCCTCCGGCTTTTCAATTAGATTGCGAAAGACCGCCAGAATAATTCGAGTAACCTTTTCCTTTACGGAATCGCTGAGTATATCGGCGAGGAACGGAATGACGTTAAATTTGTTCATCTTCTCCGCGAGCAGCGGATTGAAGGTGAGCACCCACAAGCAGAAGATAAGTTGGTACTGTACTTGGAAGTTTACTCGTCCCGAAAGAACGGAGAGTAACGTCGAGATGCCGTCGACGGACACAAACGCAAAGCGATACTCGTCAATGCGAAGCATCATTTGTAAACAGCGCCCCACCGATTGAATGTACTCGTTGTTCTAGATGGTAGAAAGATGGGCGATTAGTTGTGGTGTGATCGGAATGAAACGAAGAAGTAAATTGTTTGGTCAGTAAATAGCTTACAATTCACTTCTTGTTTAGGAAGTTGTACGGTTTTTGCTTAAAATGATTCTGTTAGCTTAGGTAAATTTCGGGATAAAGAAACAATGCGCTAGAGTCGCTAAAGCTAGCGCCAATAATGTGAGGAATATATTTAAAGTCAAGCATTTTAATTAGTTCAGTTGCTTTAGATGGCGCTTGCTGAAGAAACAAAACATCTGAATGTCAACAAAAAAAAACAAAATGGAGGTGCTTGGGAAAATTACCTCCCACCACCTGAAAAGAAATATTAAAATGTGTATACACCAGAAGTTCAAGTCTATAATCCAACCAAATTTTGCTTCAAGGTGGTAGGAGTCAACTTGCGAACACCTTGACAGTCGAGGGGTTTATTACAAATTCCATAATGACACTACGTTAACCAAAAGTGGCGGGCCAACGGCCTGGTACTTTTGGATCGCAGAGAATTGTAGAGAGCTGCATTTTTGGTATGTTGTTAGGGAATGTCTGAGTAGCGTAATTCCAAGTTTGCAACAAAAAAAACCAATCACAGTGTCACAAGAAAAATTACTTTCAATTGCGCGAAAGTTGCCCAAAACTTAAAAATTTGCCTTTTTTGGAAAAAATGGGCATTTTTCAAATCTATCAGACCCATAGAGCTGCTCTTGGGCTTACAACGTAACTAATTTGATCTACTTTAGAAATGATTATGGAATGTTTTTACCAAAAATGCCCAATTTAGGAAATAAAGGCCAAAAACCAAAAAACCCTTGGTTGGTTTTTTGGTTGCCAACTTGGATTTACACTACTCAGAGATTCCCTAACAACATACCAAAAAAATGCCGCTGTCTGCAATTTTTTGCGACTTGAAGCTCTTTTATGGTACAGTACCACTAGCCAGCTACAGAGCTTATAGTGCAATGTTTCTTTAATCGGAAATTTAAGATGCTAAGGTAACGGAGTCGCTTAACATTACATATACAACCATACTCTTCTTGTTTAACAAATTCGCTGCGACACTAGTTGTTGACTGGCAGCACTGGCAGCAGCTGGTGTTTAATAACAGTCCACCCTCTAGAAACCTGGTGCGACTATACGATTAAGTTTTATTAATTGGGCAGAAAAAAGAGGTATCACATCATAGTATTGCACAAAGAACAAAAAAGGTCTTAGAATTTCTCCACCAAAAAATTTTCCTCTGAGTGAAGTGCTCGTTTTTAAATACCGAATTCGGACTTCCCTTCAAATCAGGATTTCCATTGCAGAAGGCCAGCAGCGAATCTGTTAAACTTTTTTCATTTTCAACAAAAATCACCCTCCGAAGGTTGCTACCGCATGCAAACACTTAAAAACCGTAATGTTATGTGCCTGGTAAAATTTTACAGTCCTAGATATGTATAAATTAATGAACCTTATAATTAATTCTACCGTTAAATGATAACTAGAAGGCCGCTGATCGTCAATGCTGAAAGACACCTCGGTGTACGTTTCTGAAGGTGCTTCTTCGCCATATACCTTTGAATTAGCTTGCGCTTCCTTTAGAAGTTTAAACTAAAATAGTGACAACACCTCATGAATAAGAATTTTACACCCACACCAAGGAAGCCAGTATGTGCCGCCCTTAATTAGTTTGTACTGTTAGACGCGGCGTGAGTACGTAGTCATTTACATATTGGTTAATAAAACATTGAGAAGACACTTAAAACGTAGATACATTTATAATTAGCTTAACTATACATAATCTAAGTTACATACTGCGACCGGCAACAACATCACTGATTTTCATGTCTTTTTTTTACTGAAACAAAAGTGAGGGAAATATCAGGTCATCATCATAAAAACCTACTTTAGCTCCACAGGCGAGCTTTAAAAGTGCAACACCATGTAAATTACTCAACTTTTGTATTGGCCAAATACAAAAAGGCACGCTAGGATGTAATAAAGATAGAGTATTTTGGGTACAATTTTGTTGGCAATTATCTTTGGTTTCGTATGACGTAAATGTAGTGATGTATCAAAAATGGTATCGACTCTCAAACGAAGCATTAAAAAAAATTATCGTACCTGCTACAGCTACTAATAATAATTTGCATTGAAATATACAAAGCATAAACAAGAAAGAGCAAGAAAATCAGACAAGGACAAGAGTTACTAAGCGGAGGACAGATGTTATATAGTAGAGTAGTAAAAATGAAGCAGATAGTAGAATGAACAGGAATTCACTTCAGAAAGAAACATAAAAGTAAACAGATTATGAAATGACAACAATTACAGTAAGGTACGGTTGTAAATACGGAGGAAACAGTAGAAACAAAAGAAAAATACTGAGAAGGTTTAAACAATTTGGTACAAAAGTCAAAAAGAAGTGTCTACTACTAGGAGGTGCAAACTGTACGGTTGAAAAAAAGAAACAAAAACTTACTGGGACTCTATGGGGAAAACCACAAAAACAAAGACGGAAGGAAAATGCGTAGAAAATGAACTATTTGTGATAAACACATTCTTCCAACATAATATGATATGCACACATACACTAGGTAATATGAGTGTATTTAGATACACTACCTAGACACTTTTTATGTAACTGGGCGTGCTCCCAAGCCAATAATTGTATCTGTTGGTAGGTTTACACAATTACCTACTATCATTAGTAGGTACGTCATTAAGAAATAGCCAATAGAAACAAATGTATGGTTTCATTGGTTAGTGACGCACAATAAACTTTTGTTTCCATTGGCCATTTCTTAATGATCTAATAAAATCCACCACGTAACAATAGGCCACAAATTTCAAGTAACTATGAACTAAGGTTAAGATACGTTTTACCTACCCTGATGGTTAAGTAAAAATTTTGTACGTTAGTACTGTTAATAACGAGCGATCAAAAATGAGCGGCAGTTGAGTCGCCTTTGGAAGTTCAAGTTAAGTATGATTTCCCATGTAACCAAAAATTCCAAAGGTGACAACAGTCACTCATTTTTGATCGCATAGTATAATAGGTGATTTTTATTGCGAGAACTTTACAAACACTATAAAAATGAAAATACAGGAAACTCGCAGTCCAGTCCTGTACCACTACTCACAAGATGGCTGTCGCGAAGGTGTCGCCCATGCCATGCCACTACTAAACACAGAAGGACTTTTCGCGAAGTTTCCCCTGCAGTATAGACAGATTTCTGTGCATGTAACAATAATTACGAACGCCGGCCCGTGTGGCGCAGTCAGAGACTTGCTATAACTAGACTGCGCTTAACGTATCTAAGGTGTTGTCGACACAGTATGCAACACACAATGCACCGCGGGGCAAAAATCGCAGAGATGATGTGCAATATAATGAAATAAGCTGTTATTTTAGATGTTCCGTTCTTTAATTATTCTCGTGATTAGCTCGAATTTGTGAACAGATAAATTTCTGTTGAGAATAAACCAATAAACTTAGGTTAACTCGTGCGTATCAACATGTACTCTGTAGATAGAATTTTAAATAATATGCAGATTTCCAACGGATAAAAGTTTAAAGGGCCAATGGATCAGAGCCATTCGAAGAGAAAAATTTACTCCCACCATAGTGCATTTGCGGGGAATGAAGCCTATTTTAGACAGGTACCTACGAAGGTGTTAAACAATAACGCAATACCGAGCGTTTTCGACTTTCCCATTCACTTAAAATAACGTAGAACTATTATTCGACATCCTTTACCAGATAACGGCAGTACCTATTTGCCTATTAGGTATAGACGTAACTAAGTACTTACTGGTACTAAGTATATTTCAGGTTTTGTTACAAGAAAAATAGCTAAAAGTCTGTTAAATGTTCCATATGTGCAGATGCGATATTCGCATCAGAGAGTCATCCAAAGCTTTTAACTAGAAAAAAATCGTGGAGGATTGTTGCACGTATCAAGCGATGAATTAAAAATTTGCCAAATTGCTGAAAATGTGTTCAGGTTTTTCATTCAATCCACACCACACCGCGTTGTAAACAAAATGGTTATCAGCAGTCTAAGAAAAATAAATAACAGTGACAGCCCATTTGGGTTTTTGGATAGGCATATATTGAATTAAAATCCGCTAAATAATCATATCTTACTACTTACATCTTTAGTTTTAAGAGTATATTTTCCCGTGCGTGTTCACCACCAAAATACACATATAAATCGAATTAGGACCAGAGTAAGGCAGTTATATACCAATTTAGTACAAATAAAATACCAATAAATTCGATTAAAACAGTTAACAGTTATATGTTATCTTTTTTTGCTACTAAAATTTAGAATAAACATATGCTAAAGCAAGCTGCAGAACGTACGTCTGCCCCGCGATGAACAGTTGGTTGCCTATCCTATCTTGACAACAGGCGTTTATAGTAAAATGTACGTTACGCGCGGTCTAGTTATAACAAGTCTCTGGGCGCAGTTCAGTTGAAGCTGGACTGCGGTATTAAGGATTCAGGCATGGATAAATGTATAGTGGATTGGGTTGGTGGAGCAGCATTCGCTGAAACCCCGCCCACTCAAAAATAAAGGCATAAATAAACTACTGCCAACTGGTCGCAAGTTGCATCCTCATGACGCATCTTTTGTCTCATATAACCTCCTTGTGTCAATCTTTGCTTCCTATGAGGAATCATAGGTTTCAAGCTCTACAATGCCCACAAAAGTTCATTGCGACGTTTGATCTTATGGCAAGAATTCCATAATTTGCTTGACATTTTTTTTGTATTGTCTGGCATACCGTAATCTGGGGTGGCTTGGGACTCGGTACGCGTCAACTCGCCACCGGACCACTCGCCAATAGGACAACTCGCCAACGCGACAACTCGCCAACGGGACAACTCGCCACTGCGACAACTCGCCAATGAAATATTTTTCCCTGTTTAATGTGATTGTCAAATTTTCTGTTCAAATAATAATTTACAGAAGATGTCGTTATATCAAAATGCAGTAATAGAAACAGGTATAGGCGGTTGGGTCTTCATTCAAATATTGACTACAATTTTTCGATAAACTTTTTTTACAAAATTAGCAGTACTGAGTCGTCCGTTGGCGAGTTGTCGCATTGGCGAGTTGTCGCGTTGGCGAGTTGTCCCATTGGCTAGTCGGTCGGTGGCGAGTGGTCCGGTGGCGAATCGCCCTTGGCGAGTTGACCGTGTCCCCTTGGGACTACGGTACGACTTGGGACAAAATTGAGATAGGTATTTCATAAATGCTCCTATTATCGCCACCTATGACGTAAAAGCGAAATTTCAACTGATCCAGTACACACTAGACACTGTAAAGTATCGGAATCTGTAATATTCAGAAAAGTACATTGGCGGTATTTCATTTCACGAATTGAAAACATAACCCCAAAATATCTCTTGTTTTCCGGTGGTCGAATGCTAAGCACCGTATCTTGGGTAAGTTTATTTTTAAATTTTTTTAACGTGGCGTGCCACGTTCCCGGTAGTATCCTGAGGAAAACACAAGTGTCTGCATGTAAAAATCTTTGAAGTCGGCCCCTCCACATTCTTTGTTATAGAAAAACAACTAGCGACACTAGAAGAAGCTTTGGAAAAGTATGCCAACGGAGAGCTTAGTCTCCGGGAGGCCGCGGCGAATTACGGTATTACGAAATAGACCATTCATCGAAAATTTAGGGGTCAAAATGCGAAATCCTGGAGGGCAAACAGTTTTTAGCGCCAAAGATATTTTATATGGGCTATTACTAAGCGCTAAGTGGCTTATTTTAAGAAATCGTTATTTTTTGTTCAATAAAAACAATATTTTTGTATTTTTTTAAAATATAGTCCTTGTCCCAACTCACCCAGCCATCTCCAGCCTCCAAAAATCTTTTAGGTATGAGAAATCAATGAAAACATTACTTGTCCCTACTGACCCCGCTGGGGGTGACTTGGGACAGCACCTTCCTTTTTAAAAATTTCACAAAGAGTGAAAATGATGGCAAAAATGGAAAAGTCATTCAAAGGGGCATGTCACGAAGATGTTATATTATTTTTTTGACAATTTTTGAGTCTTCCGTGAAAAAGTTACAGCAAAAAAACACAAAAAACTGTCCCATGCCACCCCAGTTTATGGTAGTCACCATCAACACAGCGAGTTATTTGTTTTTTGATATCTTTTCAAACAGCGTCAGAAAAAAATAAAAACGAATATGGTTAATTTCGGTTTTTTTCGAATATCTTCGAAACCGATCAGTTTCCAAATGTTTAAAACATTTTACTAATCCCTAAAATACGCAACTTTTTTCTAATTTAACCAACTGTGTATGTATTATGGTTTCCGATTTCCCTATAGTGTTCATTCTTATCTTGGACACACTGTACTTAATTTCTACTATATGCAATATGTTGTCCTTCTGGACATCTGTGGTTAAAATTTAAAAAATATCTATAAAAAAGAAAGTTGGAATTGCGCAGTTCGCGCATGCGCACATTAATCGTCAAAAAGGATGGACGAACAGACAGAGAAAGTGGTTGCAATCGCGCATCCAACTTTCTTAGAAAATGCGGAAAAAATAGGGTACCTATAATACACGTCTATAAGTATGTTTTTCTATTTCGATGTGGAAACAATACCGAAACCTTACTTGATTGGCTCAGTTTGCGTGCGTTTCTAGACAGAAATGATGCCGAAAGAAATAGAAACGCATTATTTTTTTTATTTTGTTGGGTTGGTACCCCTCGCTTTTTTGCTGTCAACGGTATCCGTCAAATCAAAACTAAACATAACCTGTAAAGTGTAAATAACGTACGAGGAACTTGACCGATTGTATTAATTCCGATTAATTTTGAATATATACTCCAAAGGGTAGAACTTTTTTTATTTTTACTTAGCGTAGTAAAATATGCCAGCAGTACATTCTTGCTTACTTTTTGAACTCCCCTTCTCGGCCAGCCAGTTTTCAAAAATTTTGTACTCCTCGTACTTTACTTTCGATTTTACAGGCAGTAAATTTAACGTCGCTTCATTGGCAATCTCTTGGGTCTCTGATGGGGTACAAGAGACGTGTTTGTCATCCGTATTTATCATAACTGCCGCAAAATTGAATTATGACCAAATAATTAAAAGTTTGAAGTTTGAAAATACAGGAATCAGGTTAGCCAACGTGAAAATAAATGAATTGTGTCTATTACCAACATACACTGAATGATAGTTTAAAATTACCTAACAACGCCTAAAGGCAATATTTATAATTTGTATAATTTATTATTTAAAATAAAAATCGAAATAGAAAAAATAGTATAAAGCACACGTGTCATTTGTCTACTTGTCGCACTCGGCTTTTGCCGCATTCGCCGCTACGCGGCTTATGCGGCAAACTACCTCGTGCGACAATCTTCGTCAAATGACACTTGTACTTTAATATACTATTAATGCACCCGCAATGTTTGAAGGCGCGACGTATACAGTTGTATCATAATATACTACTATAAAGTGTTAAAAATTAGATTAATTAATTAAATTAGAATAAATAAAATGCGAGAATATGGAAATTATGAAAGACCAACATGAACAAGTAATATCAGAAGCCGTAGCTGGCGATGTTTTGCTGAATATCAACCCGTATAGACGGTCTCTGTTGTGCAGGTAACAAAGTATGAAAGTTGCTGTGTAAGTACTGCTACAGAATACTTCATCAAATGTCACCCATTCAATGCAAAACACATTTACCTCCCTTATGCTCAAACTATCACCTTTTTAATAAATAAATTTAGCAAAAAAAGTGGTAGTTCATCGAGAAGACCTTGGAGCGTTTTGGAAAGCCTAAGGTTATAAAAGCCCACTTAATAATATTTCATTTACGCTTTGCAGACACACGCTATAGCTCGGGAGGGCACTTAAGATATAGAAAGCTTTTCAAAGGTAAATGTCCTTTTCCATAAATTGATCAGTACCAGTACTCCCAAAAGGTCATATAATATAACGTACTATTCAAGTGTATAACGGGAAATAAGTTAAAACATGAATATTCTCATAAATAAGAAAGTTGACATGCGCACATCTGATTGGTACAATATGCAATATGCTTCTCTTTATTAGAAGCATCTGTGGTTAAAGTTTCAAAGAAATATGTTCATGTTCATACAATATTGTAAATTTTCCTAAGGAATTATAATATTACTATTATTATTATTAATAAATAAGTTGACACTGCGCAGCTCGCGCATGCGCAAATTAACCGTCACCATGTTTCTTGACTCAGATGCCAAAGCTATAAACTACCAGATGCAAAAAGACCAAACTACTTGAATGTAGGTGTACTTAAGGCCTCCAACATGAGATGGAAAATACACTCAAAACCTGAAAAAGTAATCAAAGTCCTCTGGAAAGCATCTAAGTGTTCTGAAAAGTATCTGATAAAGCCTCCTGCGAATAGTACCCACTAATACTTTGGTGCACACAGACCCCTAATTGCAATGCCATTGCTTGAAAACGCCCTCAAAATTATGCTTAACAAAATTTAGCTAATTAAGCATTCTATTTCAACTCGCATGAAGTTTGTAATAGTATTCCGGCAATAGACTTGCATACTCAATGTGAAGTTGGCAATAACTATTGAACCATAATATAAAACATTCTAAAAATATTGACACACTGCAATCCCTTACTCTACCCTATCTTAACCCTCTACAATGATCATAAAACGTGATCAACCACAACCCATTAAATCCATAAAAGCTCATACTTTAAAGGTAAAATCGATACATTATTATGATTTATGATCATTGTTGGTAGATAATGGGCTCACACTTAGTTTTTCTTTAAATTATATCTTTAGATTTTATGACCTGATTTGCATATTTTTGCATATTTATAGCTTCTGAGTAAATATGCAAATCTATAGCTAGCAAGCTTTGTTTGCATTATACAAATGTAGAAATGAAAGTAATAATATGCAGTGAGACCTAGGACCCTAGCATATAGGTTACCCGCAGAATTTTAAAGATTGTTGACGCCTTGTTTTTTATTGTGGCCTGTTGCTCATATTTTGTATTACCAATAAAATACTAATTAATCTGGACTATTAGCACCTTTTCTGGCAGAGAAATCCAGTGTTCCACATAAAAAAATAATCTGCATTAGTTGCCATAACTTTTGTCAAATACCCTGTATACTCAAAATCAGACCGATCTTGTTCTAAACTCTCAATTGTCGAACTGACACTGACCTGTTACTTCATTTTAAACCGCCACAGAAAGTGTGGAGATGAAAATTCAGAAAGACAGTTGTTGCACAGCTCTGTACAATCACATAGTAAGCGTCAAGCACGATTAAAGCCCTGCCACTATCGTAACGTTACTCTACAAACCTGCACTTTCAGTTGATCTTTCAACCAAGCTAAATAAAAGTTTAAATCTGATCGTTCCATGGGCGTCTGCGCCCAGCACGCGATTTTAGCGATAATTCGTGCCGTCATATTCGTTATGAAACCGTCCTGTCGATTGAGTAGGTTCAGAAACGGCCCCCAGACGCTCTCCTTTGTTCTGGCGGCATACTCGTGGAAGATTTCGACTCGTGTCCGATCCTCCTGCAAGGGACACAGTGAGGGAGGCTACCGAGGGCACATACATACCTGCAGCATGTCGTCAATTAAGATCAGGATGTACTGAAGAGTTTGGTCTTTTGAGACGTGGCCGAGCAGGTTTAAGAACGTACGTGCGCATTGGTTCCGGTCAGTTTTGAGCAGTTTTTCGCGAGCGGCACTGTCCGAAACATCGAACGCAGTTATAAACTTGTGATCTTCTTGCGAAATCATTTGGGACCTGAAACGTGAGCGTTACCGTTGGTACAAGAGGGTAGTACTACTTACTGGTAGTACGACTGCCAGTTCACATGTTGTGTTCGTATATCGGTGGCCTGCTGTTGCAGCACACTGGTGGCTGCTAGCATATCTGAAATAACCAACATTTTGCCTCAAAACCTTCTGAAACGCCCTGGTATGTAATGGTTAGTCATGTGATCTTTTGGTGTTTTGTGAGGAGCTTAAAAATAGAAATTGGGCTCTTTTTCAAATAAACGAAGTGTGGAATTGGCGTATTTGATTTTGTAAAGTTTGAAATTGGCGGTGGATACGAAAATCGCGTATGGGTGAGGCTCTACTTACCAATTTTATCATCGTCCAAAGACGTAATCATCTCCTTAATTTTAGGATTCGCCCCTGCGGGTACTTGCGACGAGGACATTTTCACTTTTACAGCAAAATTGTCGAAATTTAATACGAAAACACGAACCGCTGCTGCTACGGGAATCTCGTGATTTTTCAGATTATCACTGACGCTCACGTGCCTTGTCTACACGCCCATTTGTGTTTGTAGGAGCGAGATAGGGCATTTTCTAATGTTGGCGGCAATTGTTGAAGCGCGCGAAGTTTGAAATGGAATTAAAAAGGCCCCGTTCGAAAAAGTCTTACCATCAATCCTCTTCTTTCAAGGGGTTGTTAAACGGACAAAGATACTCGGGCCACTATGACAATTTCTCGGTTATTGTTACTGAAGGAATTCAAGAGTTACATACGAAAGGGTGCTTCGGAAAGGGAAATTTCTCGAGAGGGTACCCATCATTCGGCACAGCCGATCGACCTCAAATAATACGTAAACGGGTATTTGAGCAGAGAAATCAAGTTAAATCTACACGCACACGGAAGGTAATTGTAACTCCAGACAGCGACAACGAGAGCGAATACTTCACAAACTTACAACCCCAGTACTTCATCGACTCAAGTGCGCTTACCGAAACATTGCACTTAACTCTAGAAGAGGCATACTTTCTTAGTCACTCACTTAATTGCTTAGACGTGTACCATAATCGTAAGCTACTTGAACCGCAAGAATTATGGAGCTTATTCGTAGAGAACGATAAATATTTTGTTCAAAATTACGCAGTCTACCTCCACTTTCGCTCGAAAAATTGGGTGGTAAAGTCTGGAATTAAATTCGGCGGCGACTATTGTAAGTACCTACCTGGAATCATTAAAAATGGAGTGGAAGTTGGGGCAAAGCTTAGAGAATGAAAGAGTCATAGTCTAAGGGGCAAAGGATCAGTACATAGATAACATGTTGCTGGGGTCACAACATTATTCCTTTGATCATGTACACGTAGTTTGTTTTACCTTGCTTCACCCACCTCTCTTGAGGGGGGGGGGGGGCATATTTTTTGTTCAACTTTTGTTAAAAACAAATGTTTGTATTTCCTACGATTAATGAATATGGTCAAAAAATTGAAAATCGGCCGCCATTTTCCAAGATGGCGGCTATTGGTTACTAATACATGCTAAATGTAAGTTTCCCCATTTTTACCTAAATTTAAAAATTATTAAAAATTTATGTTATAAAATCGTCCCCTATGGCAGTCATAATTTGTTGCTAAATGGCCGCTATAAAAGATATAGGAAACATTACTATAGCTCAAAAAACAGTTCTTAGTTACTCCTATTTTAGGTACATTTTACATCTCTTTTTAGTGCTATATAAAGAAGGTCCGGCCTTTTATCATGCATCGTATTTGGTCATCATCGATGTCTTAGACGCGAACTCACGAGAACGAAAATTGGAAAGCTGTCGAAGATCAATGGATATAGTTACATTAAGTGGCTTGAATCGTCTTTGTGAAACCGTAGGAAAGGTAAACAACAGGTTACCACATTCGTAAGCTATCAACCAATTTTAGGAGTTACTCATCTGCCAGGTTCTTTGGCCATCGGATATGAAAGAGGTCTACCACTCCGATTTGCAAAAGTTACAAATTAGTGAAGTGCTGATGCGACGATGGGTTCCTTCAGAAAATCGTGATCTATTAGAATACTAAATTTATTGTCTTGTTTACATAGAAACAGGAAGTTTCGCAGTTTTTTTCTTACTTATACCCGTACGTCTATATTCACTACGTTCCTCTAAATAATCGTTTGTACATTTCCTTTTAAACGCTTCATCATGGTACCAACGTGTTAGGCACTCTTTCAAAGCCGAATTTTCATGTCGGCAATTTACCACCATAAGTACACTGTTAGATTTGCAACATTCTGAAAAAAGCTTTACTTGATCGGCGCATTTCTCTCTGTGAGCGATTTCGCGCATTCTTTTAGGTATACATACTTCGATTTCGACTTTTCGTAAAGTTTTATCTTCGGGATCTCCTAAAGTACCTTATCACACAACTTTCATATGTAATTCATGAGTATTTACCTAAACCGTAGGGCCCCAATGATCGTTTTTCAGTATTTGTTGAATGTTTCTGTGTATCCGACATTTTTGTTCATGAGCAAAGCCCAGAGCCACAAACCATTAACACCGGAGTATTTAAGATATGGTATGGTAAGCACAGCTTATACAAGGTGAATCAGCTTATTTTGACGTTATTTTGAATCTCTGAATTATTGCGTGGATAGTTTTCACTTGTAAAAAGAATGGATTTCTTATTTAAATACTAGAATCTGGTTCAAATTAACACATATCTGGATTAGAATCTATAATTAACAAATTTTTACAAACGATTATGCCAATTTTCCATTTTTCGTGTTAATGAGAACCAGAGGTAGTAGAGGTTACCCATTTGGAATAAATATACATATTTGAAGCACGTATTTAAATTAAAGCTATTCTCTATTTTTTTAATTTTAAATAGAACAGTGGAAAGTTGATCCGCAAATTTCCTTATGTTTTTAGCGCATTTTCCAACTCATATGTTGCGCAATTCGCATGTCAACTTTCTTATTTACAGAAATTTTTTGAAATTTTAACTGCACATGCTTCTAGTAAAGCTGTGTGTTTAAAACTCATCGTTTTAACAACTAAGCATATCGCATATTGTAAATATCAAATGTGCGCATGCAGCGAGACTGCGCAATGCTAAGCTTCTTATTTAGAAGAATATTTATGCCATAACTTATTTTCCTTTACATAAGTACACTGATCAATTCATAGAAAATGCCTTAAAGCGAAAACCTTTTGAATATTCAAAATAAAATTCCTATTGGTTCATTTTAAATTAGATATAATAAAAAATTATCTATTGAACAAATAAGTATAGGTATTGTTATGGTGTTACATATTATTTTTTCCAACAAATTCATACAAGTATCCGTCAGGATCGCTTATAAAGGTAACATATTTTTTGTCATGCTTCATGAACGTCAGGAACCGCCAGTGCAATGTGACCTATAAGCAAGAAGTGGGTAGTTTTTACAACTGAAAAGATACGCGACCTACCAAATCCTTCTAGTGGATCCGAGACAAAAGTGTGGTAGCCTTTAAAGTTTGGATCGTCTTCATCAGTGCCCCAATCACTACAAATATATAACATTTCACTGAATATATGAGAGAGACGTACTGCACGTACTGTCGCAATTCCACGATGATTTTTGTTCTTACAAGCCATCTGGTTAGTCTCTCCCCCGACCCTAGTTTTTCAAAGTCATTAGAGTCATGGTATCCCAAGAAGTATACACTTTTACGTTTGTTTGGAAAGTCCCATTTTTGAATTCAAAAGGGGGACTTTCCAAACAAACGTAAAAGTGTATACTTCTTGGGATACCATGACTCTAATGACTTTGAAAAACTAGGGTCGGGGGAGAGATTAACCAGATGGCTTGTAAGAACAAAAATCATCGTGGAATTGCGACCGTACGTACAGTACGTCTCTCTCATTATATTCAGTGAAATGTTATATTTGTAGTGATTGAAGAATCGCATTCCCAAAATGCCGGTGTAGATAAGGGCAGACTTTTTCTGGGATCCTTAATGCGATACATTACGTGCTGGATTGAGAAGTCCTGTTAGAATGAGAAACATTTTTTTGAACTAACCTTTAGAGAATTAATGCTATTTACATACACGTGTGGCAGTTGGTGGTTTGTGACATACAGGGCCGTAGGCAGGGGCATGCCCTAGCCAGATTTCCGAATTTCTCATTGGAGTTTACGAGTCTGCTAAAAATATATAATAACACAGAAAATTATTACTATTGACGATGTTGCGGTTATCAATTAAACGAACATATCTATGTATAACATGTTTTTTAAAACCTGCAACGCTGCAATGTCTATTGGTATAGAATTGCGATATATCAACATCTCAAATGGCCGAGGGTGTCTCGTGAAGTCGGTGGTTTATTACAAATATTTGGTGAAGCTTTGATCTTTTAGCGCATTTTCCAACGAAGGCAAACATATCTCATATTGTAAACATTAGATGTGCGCATGCGCATTCTGTGCAGTCCCAACTTCATTATTTATGAAAATATTTCTTCGAAATTTTAACCATAGATGCTTCTAGTAAAGAAAAACATATCACAATGTCGTAAAAATCGAAAACTACAAATGTCATTTACAAAGGCAAACATGCGCAAACTGCAAAATGACATCTTTTTTTCTGATGAAAATCTCTGAAAAATTTTAACCATAGACGCTTCGATTAAAAACAAACATATCGCATATATTAAATGTGTGCATGCGCGAACTGCATATACGAGGACGATTGAGAAAAGTTAATCTGGTGATTAAAAACTTTTTTTTAATTTAAAAAAACGCAATGCAAAGTACTAAGTACTTTATTTTGTCGTATTTTGTTCAAGCATGATATTAAATATAAAACGTAGAGGATTGGGATTGCTTACCTTGGTAGAACAAGTGTTTAAAAATAAGTGACATTTGATACCTACTATCGTCTGTGCTGTTTGATGAGCACTAAATTGGTTTCAGGGTACATTTAATGTAGTAGTAGGTCATTTTGAGAAATTTAGGTTTCATTTTAGATGATTATTGTAATTGTTTAAAAAAAAATTGCCACGTGTGTTCACAAACGTAGTAAATTTTGAATTTTTTGTTAATTTAGGCCAGCCGAGTGGTTATTTGCAAAATAAAAATTTGAAAAAGTGCTTATGAAAATAAAGCCAGTATTTTTTTAGTTATTGTGGCCTGTAAGTCATTTTCAGGGACAAATAACAGGGCGACAGTCTCGTTTATTTTTATATTTTTTATTTTATTTATTGTCCCTCTTGTTCTGGGCCCTCAACAGGCTTTCGCCCAAATGTCAAAATGTGGAACACTGCTTACATTTTAGATTTCAGTCTGGGGGCATATTCTCGCTATCATTGGAACAAGTTTGTATACGCTTGTAACGCAATTTTGACGTAATCTTGAACCAGTGCCATAGTAATCACACGTTTATTCCAAAAATGGTATAAATGTATGCTTCTTTTGTCATCGTTCAGGAATAGGCCGCCTGTCCTGAATGTTTGTGAGCCTGTCCTGATTATACAGTCTGGCTACGGCCCTGGTGACATAACTCCAAAATTTCTTTGTCAGTATTAGCGTATTTATTTTCGCGGCGTTTTCGTTTATGAAAACTCACGCAATTGCTACCATCATCAGCGCAAATATCATTTCAAAAGTAACGTTATTACTGATGCAATTATACTTATATATAACTAATTAACGCTGCTTCGAGGCACAAAGGTTTTTTTTATATTAAAATTTATCCATTTTAATAAAGTAGGTAGTGGTTTGATAATAGTTTAGATAATTGGTTAGATTTTTTTAGCGATATAGATTAATTAGACGCCTTCTAATGCAATCGCAATTCCTGCATGTCGTTATTTCAGGCTATGGTTTTTCCATTGCCAAGTTCAAGCGAAGACTTATGGTTTTTCTTGAAATATTATAAATTACTGAATGCCTTCAAGAGACCCTATTGAAAGCAGTACACACCGTCCCTTGTGCCTTAATTCAAGAATCTTCCAGAAAATATTTCAAGCCCTCTCTTTAACAGTCTTTAACATGGATACACGTTCGCAAGATGTTGGCACAAAACTAGACATCCAAAATATGTCCATATTATATTTATTCCTTGCACCTTCATTGCATCACCTTAACCATATGCTTCAGAAACTTTTTCCATTTTATATTCAAAGCTTTTTCCGAATTTCAGTATAAATGTATCACAAAATACAGAACTGCGGGTAATTATTTCAAATGAATCCATTTTGCCTATGTTAGATCAATATCCAATAATAAGAGAACTGTTTTTTAAGTACAACACTATACAATTACCTTCGTCGGCTGCTGTGATGATTACGCGACCAAAGAGAAGATGTTTAACAGACGTGTACATATTGAAAAACTGCCTTTACCTAAAGCAAATGGTTATTAAATCATGAGAAACGATTTTTTAATATGTTCTTGCTTTATGAATATTATAATAATATGCCCTCAACGTAACAGGTAGATATGTAGGTACATATACTGAAATAGGTACTTATAGTTGAAAGTTCTATATGGTGTTTTAAATATAAATACCAAATCTATTTAGTATCTTCTTTTTAAAATAAATTAGCATTTCCTATTCTGTATTTTCTATTTTAAATATATTTTGAAAAGTATTTGACCCAACTCTGACAAAATATATAAGAATATTGTATTATTTATCAAATATTTAGTATCGTTTTAAGGAAATATATATTTAACCAACATAATATTGAATAAATATTAAATACATATTTATTCAATATTTGGTGGTATTGGGGATGTCTGTATTGCACACGCAAAAGGCAACATTTTACAATGAAAAATATTCAAATATTCATATAAATTAAAAAAACTTACACAACTTGCGTTTCCCTATTGTTTTGCTTAGCGGCACGCGGAATTTGAGGTTAGGTAAGGACAGCTTTTATAATTTGTTGACACCATATCATACACCTGAAAAATTGTAATAATTATCTAAGGTATTTTGTAAAAGATAATTTTTAGTTACTTTAATAAGGGCGAAAACGAAAACTGTCAGTGACTGTTGAGTTGTGAATATTATAATTTTTTTTAGTACTTTCGCCATTTTTATTGGCTCCATTGTTAAACAGTCTAACGACGATCCTATAAGTACATGCTCGAACCACAGTTATTATTCTTAAAATCAATTTACGAACGCGCTGTATTTAGTGCTTATATTCTGTGGTATTTGCTACAATATAAACAAATTTATTCCAAAATGGCCGATTTCTAATTTCCTTTAACTAAGTTATAATTGGAACCTTTTGCAATTTATAACTTCCAAAGCTTTTAATACACCGAACTCCAATAAAATACAACACTTCATAAACCAAATACCCGATTCACAAAGTCAAATGATCTAATCTGAGCAAGTTTTACATCTTGCAACAACATATTAATTATTTAAAAACCTAATGTTTATGGAGTGGAAAACACTTGTTGAATTAAATTTGCATCTAATTTGTCCATCCGATTATTCAGTTTAATTGCAACTTAATGATAATAGGGATACACAAACAATAGCTAACACTTTTAAAAACAAAAACCAATTAAATAACTTTATGTAATAGTATATAAAATACATTGCTTAATTACAATACTTAAAAGCAAAAATATAAATGCAACATTGCGTTAAGTAAAAAAAAAAGGTTGGTTTAATAATTTATTTCAAAAAAAGTTATTGCAAAAACCATTTGTTTATGATATATAAAAATTAAACAATAGCAAACAATCTTACACTAGTAATTTATTGAAAGAATGATTTCAACAAGATTTGTCAATAACATTAAAACTATCTACCTCCTATATGGAAAATACGGAAATAAAAAAGAATTCATTTATGTATAATATACGAAAAGACCATATAAAGTGGTTGATAGTTTATTATACAGTGGACAGGAAGAAGTGTATATACTCGCAAATTTTTAAAAACACATTTGAATTTATTGTAACGATTTGTGAAATCTCAACAAAACTGTAGGTTCCAAAATGTTGACACAAAGTTGATTTATAGCTGCTGGAAAGCCGTTTAAACTGGTCCTGCAAGTATTATATAGCAACGGGGGCTTTTAGTGGAGGTTAGACTTTTGAAATAAGGTATTAACAGCTTCGGCCTCCACGTACTTTAGCCAGAATTATTTATCCAGGGCAGTATTTGTTTTTACAGCAATCACAACCTACACAAACTTGGTTAGTGCACTTCTATGTTAGTGTTTGTAACTTACTTCTTCACCGCAGGACTTGAGCACGGTGCACAGTATATCTTTACCGGCATCGTATTCATTTTTTAATTGTACACCTACTTCTCCTTCTGGCACCTTCAGATCCTCCCGAAGGTCACCATTATCGGCCATTAAGCATAGATACCCGTCGTCGGAAATGTCAGTTAGTTGATAGTCTTCGCGTTTAACATGTGGTACATCCATATTATGTGTCGATGGACAGATATCTTCGTATTTCTTACCTAAATCACGTACACAAAGTGAATGTAGCTGCAATCAACTATTTGGGTGCACTTACCGGAGAATATATCAATTCCTACAAGATGTACTTTGGCATGGCCGTGCTTTCCAGTTTTCGATGTGGACATTTCGACAATCTTACAAGGCCTAGATTTAAGCATAACAAAACCATTTTTACGTAGTGCCGAACATTGCATAGGGTAAGTCGCCGACGCTCCGGAATCGCCAGTATCGAAATGAGTTTCTTCAATATCGGCCATTGTTATTTATTGCGAATATCCACAGAAACTAAAAATGAAAAGTGGGATGAGGCGACAAGTAATTCGATATGGCAGATTTCGGCTTTTGAATCTTTTTCCTGTACACGCGGCGATTAAATGAACATGTGGTTAGGAGACACTTTCAGATTTATTATCGAATAAATTCGCCTGACACGGCGCAATTAGGGCAACTCACATTGCGGAATGAGAGAAACTAACCGTATTTGTTTATTGGGACGCCGGCATGAGTAACATTTAGAAAAAAAAACCGGAATTTTCGCCGAAATCTGCAGCAACATGGCGCGAACACTACAATCAAGTAAATTTGACGAAGATTATGAGATGAAGTGGTAACTCACAGTTCAATGAGCACTCTTATTAAATACACCTAACTTACACTATTTAATTTATTAATTATCGAGTTTTAGTATGAAAATAAGCGAAAAATGCCTCAATACTCACATGTGATCAGAATGGGTTTATCCGAAAGAGGTAAGGTAAGAGAGCATGCGTACTGACCAATTCTAATGACACGGCACCTTCAACATTTTTAGTGTTATTTGTTACCAACTGCAATCATTGACCGCGACATTCAATTTTAACCTTCTTCGCATATCATATACCCAATGATCTGGAATGCATGTTGGGAGCGTTTATCGTTTGTTTCCGTTAAGACTAGCCTTCATTCGCGTTGTTTAAAAAGTATGTAGGACTTAAGAGCATTAAACGTGTGTTGAATCGAAAGAAAAAGTGGTAAAAAATCAAATAAATTGCATTCGTAAAGTCACCAGACCGCAATAAAGTTCCTAAATTAATATCTACACTAAAAATTTCTACTAGAATATAAATCAAAGCGTGACTCCCATTACCGGCGCATGCGTTGTTCTTCTATTTTACAAATGTACATATTTCAAAAATAAGGATACATAAACAACTTCAATAAAGAATAAAACTACAATTAATGAGCACCTAACAGAGACGGTTACATATTTGATATTAACATTAGATAAGATAACTTTATTTATACTTACTTTGGAGATTAGTATGAGATTTATACATTTTTTCCGCTTCTGCCAGTTCTCCATGATCTTTCAGGAATAGTTATGTTTCTGGGTCGGCCTCTAATACAAGTCGACCGTGTATAAATGTTAGAGGTTTTGCTATAGTAGTTGCTCTACTGTATCTCGCATAATTTTCATCACTTTCGCTAGCTCTTGAGGCCATAATCTTTCAAAAATATTCAAGTCGGTTTTCTATGAATTGTTGGAGCACGGTCAAGACTCAAGATCTATGTTTATTTCTCGCGATACCTCAAATAAGTATAAAATTGTTTATCCATTTTCGTGAATAGTCTTCGTTTTTTTTGTATAGTCTCCACTGTACCTCGCTTAATATACTCAAAGTAGCTATAGCGGAATTTTTCTAGCTTCTGCTAGCTCCCTGGTTTGTATAAAAGGATTTTGTAGGAGGAGAAACTTATATAGTATTTTCTAATAGATTTTGTTTGTTGCACGTTGTATTGCTTGTGAATTCCTGTACATTTGTGGCATGTCCATATACATTTTTGAAAATGTCTTAACTGGATAAGAATAAAAAAACAAATAGATGCTTAAGGTTGATTAGAAAACAAAAATTCTCATCAAATCAGACGAAGCACAACTGTTGACCTAAAGATGCACATTTAAATATCAGTGTAGGTACATGTATACAGGGTGTTTGGTAAACATGCGGCAAAAATGAAAGAGGTTATTCCTTGGACTATTCTAATGATATTTTATCCTTTGATGATTTTTGAAAAAACGCATTCGAATGATGAGCCATGATAGAGGATTTCACAAACAACCGTTTAAGTAATAAGGGCAGAAATTACACATGTATCTTCGCAACGAAGCGTTTTTTCAAAAATCATCAAAGGATAAAATAACATTAGAATAGTCCAAGGAATAACCTCTTTCATTTTTGCCGCATGTTTACCAAACACCCTGTATATATATACCTATATTAATTAATATAAACAATTAAGTCAAAATAAACAAAAAGACTGCGAGAGGAGTTTTCGAGTGGTTATCCGTCCAAATACCAACCAAGCGCAACGTTGCTTGACTTTAGACAATGGCGAATTATTAGAAATAACATAGACGCAACTATCGGGCGATCAAAAATGGGTTGCTGTCGAGTCGCCTTTGGAAGTTCAGGTTAAGTACGATTGCCCATGTAAACAAAAATTCCAAAGGTTATTCGAAAGCACCTCATTTTTGATCGCATGGTATAGTTAGAAACGCATAATCAAAAGTAAAAAAAAGCACATGAAGCTCCCACGGCCCCCCTTTTATCTACATCCGCTCTCTCCGATGGGGTTACATCGTACATATTAATTATTATAACTATAAAGCTGGAAATGCGGGAGGGTATAATAAATAAACAATGGTAACACTTAATTTGACTTCTGTAAATGCACAATTCTAAGCATGTTAACAGCAATAAACATTATTAGTATTATTATTAAGGTAAACCAATTCAACTTCTCCCTAGCTGTTTTAAATGCATGTGCCTTTTTGCAATTTTTTTCTTAAAATTGAGCAAAACGCGTCGCAAAATGTGTATTTCAAATTGCAATATACGCAGCGCGTTTGGGGCTTTTTGTTGCAAATGAATATACGCATCTGACCCATATATATAAGAGAAGTATATATGATCTGACCTATGTAGATCGTTTTGAAAATGGCGCCAACGTTTGACAAAGAGTCACGTTTAGATTTAGAAACTTGTCATTTTGTTATGCACCAATGCTTCTGTCTCTACTGGCATTGAATTCAATGCTACTGGCAATAAACTGTAAATAAATTGTTTATTTTCTGTAGTAATTAATAAATTGATTCATTTCTGTAGATTTCGGAGTTCCTATAATGAATAATAGGTGCAAGCTTGTATGAGTAAACAAAGGTGATGTTCCCCTTTTCAAGTATGTTCAATAACTTACCTTTCTATGGAAATGATGTACCCTTAGAGATTGCACCCGTAAACAATGAACCCATAAACAATGAACCTGTAAACAATGAAATTGCAAACGACGAAATTGTAAACGATCCACCCGCCGCAAATGAAGCCAATCCCCAACAAAATGTAGTCAACAGAACCACCGTAAGCTTTCATTTGTACAATTTGCGACAAACAAGTCTCGTATTTTAGACTCGTCGAGCCCGAGGAGAGTATCCTCAAGTCAAGCCACAAAGCTGTAATATATGTGGACGAGTATTATCATCCGCTTCCAGTTACTACGTGCACATGAAGGTCCACTCGGATAGCAAGCCCTTTCAGTGTACCTCTTGCGACGCTAGTTTCTGTCGTAAACCATATCTCGAGGTCTGTGTTTTTACATTCTTACACCTTAAACCAAAATTCCTGGTTCTAGGCCCATTTACGAACGCACACCGGCGAACGACCATTCAAATGTAATTATTGCCATAAACGTTTTACGCAAAAATCCAGTTTAAATACTCACAAACGGATACACACTGGCGAGACACCTTACTTCTGCGATATATGCGAGAAAAGATTTACTGTCAAGAGTTACGTTACGGCGCATCGTTTCACTCACGTCAACGAGAAGCCGGTATCTTGCAATCATTGCAGTTTACCTTTCACATCGAGGCACCAGTTTGCCGCGCACTGTAAAACTCACATAACAAGAGAAATGTTTACTTGCACGTTTTGCGGGCGCTCGTTTGCGAGGCAGTCGTACCTAATTAGACATCACAATCGACTTCATAGGTATGCCGAGGTGAAGAATGAACCCGTTAATAATTGGGAGTGAATGTAGTAATTTTTTGTTTGCTATAGTTTCTCTAATATATAATCGTGTGATAAGTTTTTCGTTAATATACATTTTTCTTTTATTTGTTGTATTATTACTATGTGTGTAATAGAGGAGATTGGCCATCCTGTATATGCATATTGGCTTGGCCCCTCTATTTTTCATGCCATTAGGATCACATTTTGCGTCCTGAGCACTTTTTATTACTGTCTGGTTGTCGGGTAATGGCTGACATATACTTTGCTATCTACCCCCTTACAGACGGTCTTTATATACTTAAGCTTTGGGGAGGGTTCATATCAAGAATGGTACATGCAATGTCCTTCTCTTATGAATCCCCCTCCCCAGAGTTTATCTTTAATGTATGTCATTCTTTTTTGTTGCTTTTCTTATCAGGACAAGGCCTGTATAAAAGATAATTTCCAAAAAATTGTACGGAAAGACGTAAAAGAACAATTACCCTCTTTTCAATCATTTTAAATCGCAAAGCGAGATCTACTACGACGCCAGAAAAATCCGTATACCGTCGACTTCAGGCAAGAGGCGAAAAATAAACGGTCAAACGTATCAATTATGTATGCCCGCAAAAGGTTTCTGATACAGTAAACGTGGGAGAGGCGAGGCGGCGCCGGAACAGAACTTGTGTCAAATCCGCAAGCGGGACGTGGCTTTGGGCAAGGTGTAGCGGCACTACTGCAAGAAATGGATAGGTTAAGCTTAAGGCACAGAAACCAAGCAATTTGTATAGAACTCGCAATCAGAACAAGACTAAAAAAGCGACAATTAACAGCTTCACGATACGAGAGTCGACTCACCGGCATGTTAAGGACTCCGGCCCTCCCAAAAAGTCACTTTTGCAGGAAAAATACTGGCTATTAGTCAGGGAGATTTCTGAAAAGTGCATCTAGGTTTCTAATGAACGAGGACCTTCCGCTTCTCGTCGCATTCCTTGATGAATTGCAATTTAACATCACTATATAGTGCTTCATTTTTCTTCTTCTGACTCAATTGATAACTGGTCTTCAAACACGACAATTGGCCGTTTCCAGCAAGCACACGGAGGCAAGAGGAGGATTCACAGGGTTTAAATGCTCCCCATACATGGAAAGAGAGAGGTGATCAGTAACAAATTGCCAAATCACTACAAAATTAAATGCCCACGTTTTAGCTGCAGTATTGTATATATCGGTTGATCATCCCCAATTTAATTTTAAGGAAATTTAAATAACGTTACGTATTTCACGTTAATTTTGAGAAATTTATTGTGTTGCGACCACTGGGGCGCTTGCTGATAGAGGGGCCGGTGTTGCAACTCCTCTGGCGGCCGTAACATTATAGATATCGGTGATGTTACACCGTGTATATTTCAACTTTCTTGTTTTCTTCTTGGAAATGCTGCAAAAATCTTCGTCCGTAGCGCGACGGTGGCTTGATTATGATGACGGCTCGCTTTTAGCGTAATTTCTTTCCTCGAAATCCACCCAGTGGACGGATTGGCTTGTAATTGCACTGCGAAAATGACCGGCGCATAATTTTAAGCACCTATAATAATGCGTCAGCTTCCTTCCTATAAGAGTCGGCACAGTAAAGATAGAGCTGGTTCGACCGATCACTGCTTCCCACTATATGCACTCATATTTATGGTACCATAGTAGGCAGAATTGAATAAAATCATACGCCCCGTTATTATTTAAGCTTTTCGTCGTTCAACATTCAATATTTGACTCGTTCTCCTTTATCCTATTTTCATCCCAATGACTTGCTTCATTTATCTCATTCTGAATATAACACGTGTAATGCAGCATAAATGATTTATTTAGGTACATTATTTTATGGCAGATGTTAAATTAACATTTTAATAGGTTTCATTGAGTAGGTTCGTTAAACAGATGATTGTTCATTTTACTAACATCCGTCATTCTTATAGGACGCGGAGCACGAAACACAATGAAGTTCAGGATATAATACAAGACTGTTTCTATGGAAACGACCGCGACGTCAGAACCTACGCTTACTATATTTTTGACGTCTAAATTAAATTCAGAATTGCCAGAAGCTTTACAATGATTTATATGGCCTCTGCTATAAAATAAAGTGTTTGTATTATATACCACGATAAAGGAAACTATAACCATCTCGTAAAAGTTAATTCTCAATGGGTAAAATATCCCTATTATTTACATCAGAATAGACCTCCTAAAATTTAATGATGTGCAGTGTGTACAATTTAATGTAATTTTGATGCCCTTGGTTTGACGCAAATTATATCAGAACCCACAAGAATTACTCGAGATTCGGCTTCGCTAATAGACTTAATTTTAGTACATAATAATCAATCTGATAGCTCAAAATTAGTGCATTGTGGCGTTGTCGATATGCGTCATGTTTCCGATCACTCATTGATATATTGCGATTATCCCTTACATGACAATTTAACTAGATACAATACTTTCTATACTTACCGCAGTTTTGAATATTTTGATCTCAATGATTTCCAAAATGATCTATAATCTATTAACTGGCACATGATTTACGAAATGCATGATATTAACGATAAAATTGAGTTTCTTAACGAGTCCATTCTCTCCCTGTTTAATAGGCATACCTTTATTAAAACTATAAAAATTTCTAAACCATATGCCCCTTGGCTTACAAATAACGTCAAATTTATGATGGGACTAAGAGACAAAGCATATAGGAAATTTAAACGTACACACAAAGCAGCCCACTGGGAATATTACAAAATGTTACGTAACTATACATCTTTTGCAATTAAGCAAGATAAAAAAGCGTATCTGGAATACAAGCTTCGTAATACTTCCTCTAGAAATTTATGGAAAGAACTAAAAAAATTAGACATTTACAGCAGAGCTAAAACAAAGCATTTACCTTCTCATCTACAAGACGTTAATCAAATTAATTCAAATTTCCTTAGCACATGCAGTGCAAATGATGATGTCGGGCTCACAAATTTTTGTAATGGTGTTCTTAAGTGCAACATTACATCCAAACTAAAGTTTTCAGGTGTGTCGGAAACAGAGGTGCTCAAATACTTAATGAGTATCAAAACTAATGCTGTGGGGTGTGATGGTATTGGTGTTAGAATGCTGATATTGTGCTGTCCATTTGCTGCTCCTTTTATGACCCACATTATAAATTCCTGTCTCAAAATAGCGTGTGTCCAGATATCTGGAAATGTGCTAACGTTATTCCCCTGTCTAAAATTAATAATCCACAAGAATTTAAAGATCTACGGCCCATTAGCATCCTGCCGGTATTATCTAAAGTTTTTGAAAAGATTGTGGCACAGCAAATTACTTCACATCTTAATAGGTACCATATTCTCCCAGATGCACAATCAGGATTTAGGAAAGGTTATAGCTGCACCACAGCATTGCTTAACATTACTGACGATATCCTGGCTGCCACTGATAAGGGTATGTTAACCGCTCTAGTAATGTTAGACTACTCCAAAGCATTCGACACCATCAGTCATCGCACTCTTGTAGCAATTTTGCATTTTGTTGGATTGGATACTGCGGCCATCGCACTTATTGGTAATTACCTACATTGTCGTCAGCAAAGAGTTATTTTAAATAATGCTACATCCATGTTTCTTCCCATTACCCCAAGGATCAATTCTTGGTCCCTTGTTGTATACTATATATACATGTAATTTCGGTAGTTGTTTACGACAATGCAGATATAATTTATACGCGGATGACACCCAACTGCATCACACATTTCACGAAAATGATATTGGCACTGCAATCTATGCTATTAATAGATGTGGAGTGTTTAGTTGAATTTTCCAAATCGCATGGGTTAAACATCAATCCTAACAAAACTACAGTCTTGCTTTTTGGGAAAGACAAAATTAAACAAAGAGTAGCTAGCCGTATTTCAAATGCAATTGTTGTTAAAGGTGTCAATATTCAGATTTCGGATGTCGCTAAAAATCTTGGATTGATGATCGACTCTAAGTTAAGATTTTCAGATCACATTTCCTTGTGCATAAAGAAAGCTATTTGTAATCTTAAACTAATTTATAACCAAAGAAACTTTTTAAACAGTAAAACTAAAATGCTTCTTTGTGAATCGCTAGTTTTGTCCCAATTTAAGTTCTGTGATGCTGTGTATGGGCCCTGTCTTGATAGTGCTACCGAAAAAAGGATTCAAAAAATACAAAATTCTTGCTTACGGTTAATTTTTGGCATTCGTAAGTATGAATCAGTTGAGTACAAGTTGTTGGAAACGAATTGGTTGAACATGTATAACAGAAGAAGGCACATGCAGCATGTTTATATCACCAGATAATTACTACCAAAACTCCCTCGTATCTCTATAATAAAATACAGTTCTCATCACAACTTCATGATTTCTATTTAAGAAATAAAAGTTTACTCATTATACCTAACCATAAATCGCAGCTATACAAGCGATCTTTTTCATATAATATTGCGAAATATTATAATGAGTTACCTGATTCGTTTAAAACCTTAGCCTCTGATCATTTTAAGCTACATGTACGCCATTTCCTAATTAGCAGACAGTAATTTACTCTCATCTTAGGATTAACTGGTAGAACAGTCGCCTAATTTTGGCAAGACTGAACTTCGTCCCTTTGGACACTCCTTTTCTTCTTTTTTTTTTAAAATTGTTTTCTTGTTTTGTTATTATATATTATTGAGGTGGAAGTATGTCCAATAAATGGCTTATTATTATTATTATTAATTAAAACTGGATTTCATTTTAGCCTTACGATACGGTTAAATAAATTTTTTTTTTTTATTAATTTTTTTTTTAGAATTCAATATAAATTTTATTTAAACAAATGAAATATTAAAAATTTCTAAAGATCAAACATTCATAATAAATAATAAATTTCTTCCATGGGGATCGCAGTTGGAAGCGTCCCCATTACACTTGCCGCATTAAATTAAATAAAAAGACCAGCTCGGGCTATAAGTAAATAAAATAATTAATTTCCTTTCAATGGTGCAACCGAGGGTGCAACTGATTCGCACAGACAAGGTTATGATCGTTGCGTATCTATATTTAGTTAGATTATGCATTTTTACTAAACTGTGCAATCTTCTGTATAGAAGCTCATTACACTGGATAGGTGAAATCCAATAGTAAACCCCAAGTATGCTCAATAAACTAACAGAATCTATAATTACTCTTTAATTTGAATTGTGGTCAAATTTGGATAGAATGCATACAGAAATTTAAAGAATAAAGCATCTGTAGGTAAGTATGTATTTTTATTTAAAGATCTAGTATACGTAATATCATTGAATTTTAGATCAGTGTCGTTACTGTAGGTTCCCAGACATTTAGGACTACCTACTGTAAATTAAAAATAATTTTAACTGAATAAATATGTCAAAATTGTATAATAATAGGTATCTATTTAGAGTTGCCAAATAAAAGTTTATTTTCGTCGTTTTCTTCCTTTTCCATATCTAACCATGATAGTTAACTCCTAAAACACAGCATCACTCCGATGTGGGTCAAGTGCAGCTCCTAATGGAATTTTGTAGATAACATTAATTCATATCGAACGAAAATAGCAACCGATGAAAATAGTCGGCGTAAATATTTTCCAGCAGGTATACTTAAGTCCGCGAAAGACATTATCGTACAGTTTGATTCGCATGTGGAGCTGTACGGACGCACAATGTTAGGTATGTGGTAATTTGGTAGAATTTTAATTGCCCGCTTAAAATAGAAGTAGCTACAACGTGTTTTGTGTGTGTTTTTTTAAAACGACATCATCCTCTGTTAATTCTGAGTATCCTCTTATTAGATTACCACATGTCTATGGGAATGTTCACGCTTACAATTGAGTACCTACGAATTACAAATTTTTGGAATTACAATTTGTACCAAAATATGAATCAGTATTCTATAATAATCTATGCTGGGTGTAGGATGGAATTTATCGTGATATAGCCCTAACATTTCATTTTGTGTAAGTTATAATTATAAAACATCTGTCTCTATAATATACCTACATATTTATGTAAACGAAATGGGCGCCCCGGGAAGGGGAACTTCCTACCGCCTCTTGGATGGGACATCGGTGATTCAAAAACCTAGGAAAACCGTTAGTTTCATTGTGGAATATCTAGCAAAACACAAATCTAAACAATTAGTTTTCCATGTGAAGAAAGTCTTTATAATGCCCTGATTCGCTTGCAATAGTTCAATTTAACATTTTAGAAGTTGTTCTTCTAGCGTTAATAAGTTTAAAGTTTAGTGAGATAGTGTTGTCATATGCAATGTACCTCAAGCTCAAAATGTCATATGCTTTCAAGAGATCCACGTTTAGTAGGTATTAGTTTGGTTATAAATGCGCCACCCTCTATATCTCTGATGATTTTGCTAAGTATGAAGTAAAAACTCCCTGTAGTATATACAGTGTGTCCCAGATCGTGTGGGATTGCATGGGTAACTTTGTTATTATTAAAGATAGAGAATTGGTTAAATGGGCAATGTTTTGCAGTTTTGGATGCTTATTTAAAATTTCCTTATGGAAATTCAAAATGTCGCATAGGTTCGACGTAAATTCAAAAAAACTAAAATTGGTCATTTCCTTGAATGTCTTATATTATCGAAAGTATAAGAGATATAAAAAAAAAAGTTTTATATAAAAGTGACTGTCTTTGATACGCTTAATTTAGAATTGATGTCAAAAGAAAATTCAAGATGGCAACTTTTGAGGAACATTTACCAACTTCCTTCTTAATCACCAGATGACTGTCTATGACATGCAAAAAAAATTGGAACTACTTCTCATTTTGCAAGTTAAAACTCTCTATTCCCTGGACTATATAAGGGAGGATAAGAGTCCGTGTTGAAAAATGTTCGATTTCAAGAGCCGATATCTCCGTAAAGGAGCGCTAGTGTTAGATTTTTACATTTTTGCTCTATATCGTATCCAATAAAAATCCAAACATTTCTTCTTTGTCTTGTTTGTAACGGGGGGCCCATTTAAGGCGGCCCAAGACTGTTTAGATGGCAAAAAAAAAACTGCTTGCTATAGTAACTACTGCTGTTTCAGATGAAAACCCCTGGGCCATTTCAATTTTTTTTAAAAATTTCAGATCACACATCCATCGAGATTAACGGATCGCTTCGCAGAAATCTCGAAGAACTTCTTAAACTAATGCTCGTAATATGGTGCAAGGAGAACCAAGCCCTTAAGCTAGTGGCAGGAAAACCAAATGGTAACCATCATGTATCTAAATTAGTGTGAGTTTGAAACGGTGTATATGCGAACTTCATTTTTCTAGCGTAGATTCGCGATGATTTTCTTTGTGTATAGATGCTGATAAATCGATAATTATCCAACGACGCGGGGGCCAGTTCGGTTTTCGTATGCATGGATCCAGGCCAGTTCTAATTTCCGCAATTGAACCGGAGACCCCTGCGGAATCGTCCGGGCTGGAGGTTGGCGACGCCATAGTCGCGATTAATTCGATCAACGTGCTCGATAAAAGTCACTCCGAAGCCATTGAAATCGTAAGAAGCGCTGGCGATACTGTAACTCTTGAGGTAGCTAAATTTCTGCGATTCATTCAATGATTTGACACTTATTGTATTGCTTTAAGGTTTTGAGCACATGTACCGTACTCAATCCAGACAAAATCGAAGAGAATGACGACGAGGAAGACTCCCTATACTGTGGTTACATATGGAAACTGGCAGGATATGCCAGTGGTCTACCCTCGGACAAGTGGTTGCGCCGATGGTTCACCATCAAAACCGACAATTGCTTATACTACTATAAAACTGACTCGGCAAGTTAACCACTAATTAAATTCGTAAACGGACTTATCATTTCAGGACGACCACCCTGTGGGTGCGGTCATGCTTATGAATTACGAGGTTGCAAAAGATTGTGAAAACCATGATCAAACATTCCGTTTCGATTTACGAAAAGACGACGCACCTACTCTACATTTAGCTGCAGATACTCAGCAAGGAGCTGACCGATGGATTGAAGCGCTGGTACAAACTGTGGACCGTTGCCAACTGCAAGATCGCCGCGTCGAACAAGTAAAATGGAATCAATTATTGGAACCCGGCGCGATCATCAGTCCAGACTGTTTCGGCTATTTAATGAGGTTGGGACATACGTCTTCTAACAGGAGATATTGCATTCTAAAAGATGGGTGTTTATACTTTTATTACGACATCCATTCGCAGAACGCATTTGGTAAGGGCATTTTAGACAAAAGCTGTTGTGTAAAAACAATTCGTATACTTAGGGGTTGTCTGCCTTTACGGGTATACAGTGCACGAATCAACAGATCAATCGATCAACTTCGCCTTCGAAGTCTTACCAGGAGATTTAGGTCAGAAGCCTTTATATTTTTATACAGAAACTGAGCAGGACCAAAAAAGGTGCGTTGAACATGATTTTAATAGGTTACTTTTTTTAGATGCATAATTTTAGGTGGATAACAGCAATAGAATATTCTATTAAACAGTCTCAATGTCTTCAAATGAAGTAATAATATGTCATTTTTGTAGTTGAATAAATTGTAAAATAGAGACTACACGTATAGGTACCTAGCATTAATAATCAAAATCACCTCGTAATCATATTTTCAAATCCTACTTACTTTACATTACGAGGGGTCGTTTTTATATTCCGGGACTAGGGATGAAGACAAAAGAGCAACAACTTTTTATTTGTCAATATACAGGCTGTTTCACGCAAACCGTTACCTAAAAGTATTCAGGCTCCCATTAATAATTTAATCTGAAAATTTGCTTACTAACATAGTTTTTTATGCTCTATCGACAGAAAATATTTTTATGATCGTCTCACTTCCGGTAGGTGAATAACATCTTTCTTATTTTAAATTGAAAATCCTGATGCTACATGCGAATGTTTTATATTTTGATCGCCCTTCTACAGGGCGTTTTAAAATTAATATCTTCAAACCTTAAACAGTTGATTTTATCATCTTTTTTTTTCAATTATTACATTCCCTCTATCTGTAATGGTTTTCGTTTTATTTAAGACTAGCTGCCCGACCCGGCTTCGCACGGGTGTTTATAATTTTTGTATTCGTAGTTACATGTTGGGATGGATGTGTATGATGTTGGTTACAGAAAAAATATACCTTAAAATTTGGATTTGCACCAAAAAATGATGTCATTTGGAATACACATCAGTTATAACGTTGAATATTTTGCAAGAAATGCTTTGATAGAGGGTTTTGCCCTGAAAGAAGTAATGAATGAATTCAGTGGTTCAGGTTGAGTTGTAAGTTGCGGCCATTTGACCTTTCTACTGGCACAATATAATCCTGCTGGTTCTAGTCGAAACCTCAAAGCGGAAGGAATTCTGTGGAGTATTGGACTCGATCATCAACTTTTTGAAGACACTCAGGTTTACCTTAGAACTTAGAACTGCCGTTTACTTGTTCCAAAAAAATTACAACTATGTACGTCACACAAATAAATTTATCCGCAAGTTGTGCGCGGGTGCTTTCTTGTAGAGTTCAAAAAGTGGCAATGAGAAAGTGTCTTATGTCTTTCTTGTTGTATCTGTTCAAATAAGACCAGCAAAAAATAAACATAAAATCGGAAAGTTTCGGTTTTTCTGTCATATCTTCGGAAGTAATCGGAATTTTTTTGTTTTCTCTAAAGCACGATAATAATGGTTTAATTGTGCATCTTTTCTTTAATTTGACCATCATCGTATCTTCTATGGTTTCGATCTCCATGATAGACATCCTTATCTTGGACACAATTTCCCATATAATACTGTAGTTTATAGTAAATCTTAAATTACTTCTTAAACCATTGGTAAATTTAATCCCTTTATGGCTTAATTGTATGTTGGGTCGTCCTCAGAGGCACAGGTTGGAATGAATTTTGTAGTCACGGCAAACCTTGCCCTTTTTATAAATAGAATTTGCGGAGATGATTTTAAAGCAGCTGAAGATGTAGGGTAGGTAGGTACGAATTTTTATTTTGTATCTTGACGATTATTTTCCTAAATTAATTAGTAACGTTTGCATCCTTTGCGTGCTATTCTTTGCTTTTTTAATATATACTTAGATAGATAGAAGATTGCGAAATATACGACGAAAGAAAAAAAATAGTTCGTGTAAATGCAGAATAAAAATGCGACGGCAGTGGGCAGTATCTGAACGTATAAACGGTTGACGCCATCTATTAGTTATATTGCAATTTAAACGACGAAAGAGGAAAATGTTGTTTTTACGTCTTTCCGTACAATGTTTGGGAATTATCCTTCATACAAACCTTGTCCTGATAATGAGAAACACAACAAAAAAAGAATTATCTAATGTGGTGCAGTCGTTCTGAAGTGATGGGCGTACATAAATTTAGTTAATTAATAAAGTTAATTTTAAAACTTGCAGTCAGCCATGTTTTCCAAACTAAAGAATATATTGAAAATCGCGCAAAACCGTTTCGGGGGTATCGAAGGGGAACCAGAATGACGTTATGAGTGACAACCTCCCACCCCCATTAACCCCCCCAGCTCTCCCTCTTCAAAAATCCTAAGTGGCTACCCCTTACCTGTGATACATGGTGGTACCAATAAAGTCAATATTCATTAAGATAATTTAACAAAAATTTTCTAATTAACAAAAAAAAACTAAATGTTGACATTGAGGGATTTATGGCAAATTGGCCAAGAACTTCAATCTGAGCTGCTTCATTAAGCTTACTTAATTGCTTTTTTTTATTGATAACAGATCCTGTTTCTTCGAATTCAGCGACCAAATCTTAAACATAGGCATGGCTTAATTGTCATAAGTATGGATTTTTGAAGAGGGGAGCTGGGGGGGGGGTTAAAAGGGGGTGGGGGGGTTGTCACTCATATCGTCATTCTGGTTCCCCCTCGATACCCCCGAAACGGTTTTGCGCGATTTTCAATATATTCTTTAGTTTGGAAAACATGGCCGACTGCAAGTTTTAAAATTGACACCCTGTATAAAATAATATATAGACTTTCGCAGTAATTCGTCCTGCAATCGGATGAACAGTTTAGGGACGTACGTCTAACCCCCAAAGTTTAGTGTCGCAATCGGATGAAGGGTTTAGGCAAGCATAAGGGACATTCATACGTACGGATAGACGGAAATGTTTTTATTACATAGAAACCTTCGCGGACATACGTCTAACCCCCAAAGTTTAATCACAATCGGATGAACGGTTTAGGCAGGCATAAGAGACATACACACATTCATTTTTATTTATATAGATTTTCTAAAATTGTGACCGTTCTAGCACTTAGCAATGACGAATCAGACGTTTTAATGACAAAAAAATCAATATTGACGGGTATAGTTGCACTAAAAACAAAGGATAACAATTAATGGCAATTTGCCTTCTAAGTATATACAGCGTAGACAGAGATTTATGTGTTGTTTTTTTCCCTGTCTACTTTTAAAAGACAAAATCGTTTTGAACAGCACCTAATATTATGCCATCAAAATAACGTCTTAAAACATCACTGAATCATATTTTTTATGCTTTACTTGTTGTCACCTGGACTATCATATCATATAGATTCTCATAAATTGTTTTAAATACTCCATCATGTTTTTGTACTTTTTCTGTATCAAGGTTGGGATTAATAGCAGCCTTTGGCTGACACCCTGCCTAAATAAAGCCGTTATTATTATTATTATTTCTATTTTCGTTCTTGTGCTATGAATTCAACAGAAGAAAAAGTTGATATTGTCAAATGGTATAGTGCCGGTAACAGTAGAGATTTATTTCAAACTATTAATATGACAGCCAGATGTTTATTTGTTTTAAAAGGATATTTTGAATGCATAAAATTAGGCGCCCTTTAAAAGAGATTTTGTTTTTTAAAAGTAGATATAAAAAAAACAATACACATAAATCCCTATGTCTACTTCTTAATAAATACCACTCTACCTATGTACGTACCTAGATATTTTTAAGGAAACATTGGATATTTTTCTTCTATCTTTAGTACTAAGTGATGATTCTTTACATACCTCTATACTAAAAGTCCTGCTTCACTCACTCATCATCTTCATCCAATCAAAGGGAAAATAGTTCCTCCATTTCTGCAGTGAACTGCGGATTGGTCCCATTTTTCTCAAAGGACCGCCACTCCTACGCAAGTAGACAGGCCTATAAAATTTTCCAATTGATAACGATCTAAAGAACTACAAAAAACTTACTTTTTTCCAGTTCAAAATGTTATTGATTAAATGCAGCGACCCATCACAGCTACAAAAATCAATTAAATTCTACTGCATTATTGAGCTGACGGTGACTTTTGACGACATTTTGAAAAAGAGGTGTAAGAATGTCAGAGATTCAATTTGTATAGTGACAGAGGCGGTTCAAATGGGCCCTGCTAAAAACATAAAGCATTTTGAACATATGAATTACTTTTTTATGAACTACTGAATTGTTGTAATGACGATTATTTCCATTTCAGTAGGTATATTTATCACGACCTTTAAAATCATAGAACACAAATATTGCATCGAAACGGTCATCAGCTTCCCATACCCCCAATTAACAGCAGATAAAGTATAATGTATTCTCCATATTATTTTTTAAATACTATGGAAAGAAAAAGCGGCCAATGTACCATGTATTTCATATTAATCTCGTTTGTCCCCCGCTTAAAACAGTAGATATTGATTCTGTATACTGTACAAAATCATATCCCTAGCGATACCCATTCTGTATTGCGCCTGTCTCAACTTTTAAGAAGTTCACACGTTTCCACATTGTATTTAAAAATGTACATCTGTTTATCAAATGGGTATTTTATAGCGTTTTCGGTGATAAAACTTATGATGACTAAGTAGGTATAAATTATTCAACGTAAATTTAATGGTAAATTGCGAATTGGTCATTTTTTATGTTTAAGAGGGCCTCAAATTAAACATTTTGTTAACAACATTCATATAATGTGTATGATAATAAAAAATAAATAACAAATATCTACTTATTCAATAAAAATCAAATAAATTCTAATCCTTCATATTTTAGATCGGATATAAAGGTATCATCTAAAAGAATTTTTCCGTTTATTGTAAAAGCTGTGATGTATGTAGCTGTTTTTCCATCAAGCTCTTCGCTACGTAGAGCTACAATTACTGTATCTTCAGATGTAGGTATAAATTTAAAGGATGAAAATCCACGCGAACTAATTAAGTTAGGTATCTAAAATTTAGATATAATTTCAACGGTACAAGACATATTGTCATTTACCTCGATTGCTTCTACTCCGTGGACCGTCGAGTCAGCAGTAAGCAACCAAGAGCAGCCTCGGTGCTCATCTAAAGTTTCATTGTATGCGTCTTTACTACAACGACGTGGTAAGAAGAACCACTTTTGGTGTATGTCTGACCAAACTCCGCTTTCGTGTATCATGTAACCAGGCCAGTGAATATCGAGCACCTCTCTAAGACGAATATACTCCTCTTTCCAATTGAGATGATGTACCTATTGCGAGTATTTTCGATTGACAACTTTTGTTAGTTATAAGTACTTACGACACCTTCAGTTGTAATCATTTTGATATACTGTGGATCGTTATTTACAAAAGCCCCATCTGGAGTTGTCCACTCTTTTCCCATAGAGCCAACATGCAGAACTTTATTTTTAACTGTAGCCCATTCTGATTTAAATCCTTTTGTATTCCTAAACCTAAATCGTTACCTTAGATCAGGTAGTGAAAACCTTACCTGCCATCACCATCTAACAACACCAACCAAGGCACTGCGTGGTCGTTAACAATTTCGAATACCATACCCGTACGATCATCAAATGTTAGTAGTTTGCCATCAAATACCACCAGCTCTGATAGTTCCATCCCTCGACTTTTCAATGCGAAACTCGTCTTTAGCTTGACAGGATCTGTGTGATCCCAACTTACTACCACCGTCTGCTTATTAGGACTATAACTTAAATAACCTTTCTTTAAATATGAATACCAAGTATCTTTGTCCGAGGTACTTTTGGAATTTGTGTCTAAATCTGCGATTATACCTGAAATTCATTAGATGTAAGTATACATTGTAATGCGCACACCCTTTCTTACCTAGACGAAAAGTATGCATTGTACTAGTTTTGATAGGACTTGTAAGAGGATAGGTGTTATTATAGGTATAACTAAATGTACCATTGGATGTACTCGATCGTTTCGGAAACATATAAATTACAGTCAATAAAATAAGTCCGAGTAACGCTACACCTGTTATAAATTGTGTTTGACTACGAATTGTTTTATTTATAATACGGTAACCTGGAGGTGTTTTTAGTGCCTTTCTCCAGTCTTTTACAGCAATCATTTCACTATCTTGAAGCATTCGAAGCCAATAAAGTATCACAGTTTTCACATTATTTAATTTAAGGTTTTATTTACATTTTCGTGTTAACTTGTAAAATACGTACACGTATACTTTTCTATCTTAATACGTTTCTTAACTTGAACATATCGAAGTTTACAAAGAAACTTAACCTCACTTTATTGTCACTCAAAATTTTGTACTGTACGGCAGTGGTTATTATGCCTATTGCCTATAGTATACTTCGATGATCAACCACTGTCCTTGATTATACAGTGATAATCAGGTATAATCATTGTGTATGTATTGTATAATCAATGGCACTGCGCCCAGGTAGTCATGGTTTATTTTTACCTTTACAAGGGATTTCCAAAGATCAAAAGATCATGGTATTTCGCATCTTTCAAAGAAAATAAATGATGACAAAGTGTTTCACAGGGTACATACAAACGTGTCAGTTGCATCAGTGAAATATGGCAACGCAGAAAAATCTTATCAGCTGTCTTCTGTCATACAGTTTTGTGATCTTTAGAATCAAAATGGCGGTCCTAGCAGCAGCCGCTTTGTTAGATGAGCTAATGGGAAGAAACCGCAATATTTTGCCTAATGAGAAGGTAAAAGAGCTCAATTGGGAGGACAGCGAAGTAAGTGACTCGCCTGACAGTAACAAATAATAACTTTCCCTTTTTTAGTATTGCAAGTACTTCTTGGTGAAGTTCTGCCCCCATGACCTGTTCGTCAACACGAAAGCCGATCTAGGAAGCTGCCCCAAAGTGCACGACGAAGAAGTGCGCAAATTATTCGAAAAATCGAAAGGTCACAGGAAAATACAGTACCAGGAGGAGTTTATTAGGTTCTGCAGTAACATGGTAAACGAAGTCGAACGGCGTATACAGAAAGGGCGTCAACGTTTGGCGTTAAACAATAAACAGGAAATACCGCCTTCGAATCCGGCCCAAATCCAACGTAATTTAGAACAGATTAACTTATTAAACGAAAGAATAAACGGATTGGAAAGGGAAGCCGAGCAAGCCGGTAACGATGGCAATGTCGAGCAGGCATCAACTTAAGGACGAACGTGATACTCTAAAGAAACAGAACGAAAACGGGTATGTTGTTAGAGGTTTTCAATTAAGTACCTATCAAAATGATGACAACTTACGTATGCAAAGAGTGGACTGTCAGCAAGGCGGTGGTACCCGCATGTGACTTGCGAGTCATATTAATTGCCGATGGTAGATTCTCTAATGACCCAAGATTATGAGAGCTGATACGCCCGAGTTTTCTTGTCTTGGATTGCAAATTGCAAGGTTACTAATTAACGGGAGTTGTTTGCAGCCATTGGAGTGCAACCGCCGAACTGGCAGCCGCTCAAGAAAAGCAGATGGAGGTTTGCGAAGTTTGTGGCGCATTTTTAATCGTCGGAGATGCGCAACAGAGAATTGACGATCATTTGATGGGCAAACAACACGTTGGGTAAGTGTATAAGCGGGTTTCGTCAAAAAGTACCCACACTAAGAGAAACGACTGTGAAGTTTGGCATGTGTAAAGTGGGTTGCCTAGCTAAAAAATCATAACGTTGTCATTACTGTGCTTCATAAGGCCACACAACAATCGTAAGTTGCAAAATTCAAAGTAAATACTCTTAAGTGCCCCTTCACACTTAAGTCGCCCAGTGTGAAGGGGCACTTACGAGTATTTACGTTGAATTTTGCAAGTATAAGCATACACGCCCTTTTATTCATATGGGCCATTGTCTTCCCTTCAATGAAATGTATGTCTTAAGAGAGGACCGAATTACATCGAATCGAAACAAGAATAAAAGGCCCAGTTGCACAAAAAAATGTATTAAAAAGAAGTGGCAATAGAACAGCCACTATATCCCTCCCCCCTCCGTTACCCCCCCCTCTCCTTCTTGTTTGGGTCGGGGCGTTTGGTTAAGGCAGGGGTCGGCAACCTATTGAAACGGAAGAGCCAAAAATTACAATTTACAAAATTTCCCAGTTTTTGAAGAGCCACAAAAAATGTTTGATTCAATATTATAGTATTTGGCTATATACAGGGTCCTGCAACAGTGCATCGGTTGTTCCTACATAGCTGACCTGGTAAAAAATATTGGTGGTTGCAGATCTACAGAAATTATCTTTGAATGTACAGGGTGTCTCATTTTTACGATGTCAATAAATAACTGATCTTTTTAAATAGAACATCCTGCATATTTTTACTTGTTTCAATGTCATTTGTTGAAAGTGCTGTAACTATTCTTTTTCAAATGGAACTACCACTATTTTATTTCGCTATTCGATTGTCTTTTGTGTTCTCTTCAATGTTTATAAGGGGTGCTCTGTGCTTAAACCCCGCAGTTTTTATGTTATTCAATATTTTTCACAAAAGTACCTACCTACTCATTAATTAATTACGTGCTTATACATCGGAGTAGGCTGCTATAATAAAAAACAAAAGAATACCAGAAAGTAAACAAGTGTTAACAAATTAGATATTATTTGCTGCAAGTGTACTTTTGATTTTCGTAAACAAATAAGATTAATTAAAAAGGCGAAGTTCGAAACAAATGAACTATGAACGGTCAAAGTAGCGGGCGTCCACGGAAAACAATCCCCCCCCTCTTTTTTTTTGCGAAAATTAACGGATCTGCAAAGGCAAATATTTAAAAGGCAAAGATCCTCCCAAAATTGGGAGCGTTAATTAATTACCCGGCCTGCAATTATCGAAAAAATATAAGATGGATCTCGTACTTTCTCATGTTTTAAGCGCGCTCATTTTGATACAACTCTGGACGTACTTCTGCCGGTTTTTTTTTTACAAACTCATTAAAACGTCATTGGTTAACATGCTTACCCAATTAGGGCTCGATCAAACTTTAATACCAATCAATCAAATTAATACGATTGTTATTGGATTTTCCGACGCAACAACTGTTGTCGCGATCTACACCGCGCTATGTCTGCAAGAATGATAACTAGGGACGGACTATATGAATGAAAACATGTCAAAAATTTGCACATATATATGCACAAAAAATTGTCAAAACAGCATGAAGATATGCATGAAAATGAAAAATTAAACAATGCACAAAAAATCATTGAAACTTTTTTAATTCGAACTATTTAAACATAAGCTGTATTAAGCTGTATTAAAACAATTAATGAATAAGTATTGTTCCAAGTGGTCCATCTTAAAATTTGTGCGTGTAGTACGTGGTTATACACAGAGAAACATCTTTCCGCATCGAGACGCGAGTAATTGGAGCGTACTTTAGTTGAGGTTCTACATTTAAATGTTGCAACATTTCCCCCACCCAACATTCATCATCTCATTTGTTGAACTTGAAAATTTGCTTGCATTATAAATTAATGCTGAATTGAACACCGCCGACGTTTTATAATTTAACAAACTGGGGCGCCATTTTTTTGTATTTCATTTATTTTTTTTATTTTTATTGTTTTCTTTTGTTCTGTTTCTATATAATTTTTATTTTATTTTATGTGATTTATTATTTGTTTATCTTCATAATTTATAAATAAAAATATAATTGTTGCAATTAGTACCACTGGAAACTTGTTTTGTAATAAAAATGGTTAAAAAAAATTAATAAAATGCTAATCTATCTTAAATGTACACAAAAACCTCAAAAATGCAATATATGCACTATTTTATTTGCATAAATGTGATTCATTTTTGTTAGTTTGTGTAAATTATTGCTTTATTTCGAGCTGCATGCAATATTTACGTAATGCATAAAAGCATGCAATCCTGTCTCTACTGATAACATGTAAACACTCGTTGTGGAACTCGTTTCTAACCTAGTTTTCGTTTATTATGGGAATCTAATGCTTAATAATTAATGAACGGCACTGAAATATCAAAATATTAGTTGACTCCATACTTCCCTGACAAGAGAGCTTGCTTGAAGTTATGTAACATTTTTCATTTATTGTCTTGTCACCATCAACATGGCCATGGACGAATTACCATAAGAAATATACAGTGATATTTATTAAAAAGTAGACATAAGGATTTACGTCTATTGTTTTGGCCTATGTCTACTTCTAAATGACAAAATCTCTTCAGAAGGGCGCCTAATTTTATGCAACCAAAATAACTTCTTAAAACAAATACCTAACGATCTGACTGTCATATGAATTAATTTGAATATTGTTGCTTTGGCTTCCATATTTTTATTTTCGTTCGTGTATGATGTATTCAACTGAAAAAAAGAGTTATTGTCAATTGGTGCAGTGTCGTAGCTGCTTAAGGAACGTAAGAAATTTATTTTCGGTGAAGCCAAAGCAATTTGACATTTTGGATGCATAAAATTAGGCGCTTTTCAGAAGCGATTTTGTGATTTAAAAGTACACATACGGAAAACAATACCCAGGGGCGGACTGGCTCGGGGGAGCGGGTGGCGATTGCCACCTGGCCTGTACGTCATAATGGCCCGTTGGAAATTTATAAGTATGTGCTGTATTTAGTTTCTTGCACTATTAATAAGTTATTAACACGTTTCTCTAATTGGGGTTGATGTTAGGTTGTTAAAAAATTAAAAAATTTAATTGAAGTGTTTTACAATGAATTTATCATTTTTTGTCGTAGCATGAAAGTGATGAAATACAATGATAGGCGACGCGCCTCGTTAGGATTGTATATTTTGTTATTATCAGCTGCAATTTGAAAAAAACCTGTATTGTAATTGATTTCCGAAAAAGGAGTACTTTAAAATGAAGCAAAAAATGTTTTTGTGGTGCACCTCAGAGCTACCCCCCCGCCACCTTCATTACTACACTAATACTTTAATGGCCCGTAACCTATGCAATTCCACCTGGCCCGCCCCTGACTAGAAACCAATTTCGAAAGAAAATTCAAAGGGCTGTAACTTTTGAACTAGAAGCCCAATCTTGGAACTGTTTGAAATTATGGATTCTACAGGCCACATTCTATAAGAAAATTTTTTTTCCGGGTCGATCTGAGACAATTTTTTTTTCGGGCCTCAAAAAAAGGCAGTGTATAACCTTCCTTTTTTACCAAAAATCGACTGCACCAAAATTTCTCGGGAAAACACTTTTTTTATTAATTTTGGTGCGTAGAATCTAAAACAATTCGTACTTTTTCGATCGGACTTCTCAATCAAAAGTTATGGACTAGAAACCAATTTCGAAAGAAAATTCAAAGGGCTGTAACTTTTGAACTAGTAGCCCAATCTTGGAACTGTTTGAAATTATGGAAAACTTATTAATTTTGGTGCGTAGAATCCAAAACAAATCGTACTTTTTTGATCGGACGTCTCAATCAAAAGCTTTAATTATCAGCTGCAATTTAAAAAAAAACTGTATTTCCGAAAAACGAGTACTAAAATGAAGCAAAAAAATGTTTTTGTGGTGCACCGCAGAGCCCCCCGTAAGTACCCAGTCCGCCCCTGACAATACCCCAAATTCCTATGTCTACTTCTTAATTATATATCACTGTATTGTAAAGGCAAAAATTCAAGATTAATGTAAAAAAATCCAATATGGCGTTGATAGGAAATCGGAAAATAGATGCGATTTACTCGAAATCTTCAAATAATAATAATTTTATTTTATCCACCATCAGAAAGTTGAGAAAATATCACAAAGGGTTTGTTAAAACCACTTTTTGATATAAATATAAATAAAAGAACGCCGGCGCATTCTCGAAAATATTTTTCCGTTTTATTTAGGAAAGGAAAAATTTTTCACCGTCATGCTTGTATGCTATCAGTCAGTCTACGCTGGTCTGTATACCAATAATAACAATTAAAAAGATGAACAAATTAACATAACAGCGTGCACATAATTTAGTATAAGAAAGTATTTATGAATTATTCGTGTGGAATCTAGAAGGTGTTTGTGTTGGTTTAAATAAAACAAATCTAATTCCGCTGTCTTTGCAATAAATAACCACAAAGTGTGACTCACCGCAAATATTCTGGAATAATCTACTTTCAATTTTATGGTCCACTACTACAGTTGCATATGACTTGGTAAACTACAATCAAATTGCGCTTAAAAATAATTTGATAGTTAGGTGCCATCAGTTCAACGCAGGGTTTTTGTAACGTATTTTCATAAACCACGAAAAATTCGATATTAAAGCACCATCGCCGTAAAATATCAAATCCACTTGGTACCGCCCTTTTACCAACAATGGTGGAAACTTGTTGTAGTCTGGTCCCCAATTACACATGATGTAATATCCCTACGGGTAGATAATGTAATGGGATGATAGACGCCCTTACTGACCTTTTCAATTGGACACCTTGAGAAATTCCCACAGGAGAAGACATTTTCTATACCAAATTCGTTGGTCTCTAAAAGATCGCACAGGTTGCGTTGAAAAGCCAAGGGAAACTCTCGATATGTGTTGCTGAGAAACATTTTTGAAAAGAGTTGGGACTGGAAAGTAAAGGTCATAGTGTCTCAAGTCACGTTGGAAGTTTCATACCCTCATAGTTTTGACAGGTCGAAAAAAGTTGTATGTAAGATTCATGGCGATGTAGGTCCCGGTTATATTTAAAACATCTGACGGATGCGTTGACCAAATTCGAATTGTATTCGTTCATCACGCACCACTCCGTCAAAATCTCATATTGGTCTTGCTCGTACTACTCAAGTTAAAGGTTTACTGTCAAAAAGATTCAAGACTTACCAAATTCGCAAGATGGGCGATTGCGCATACGAGAAAAATGCAGTAGTTGTACACTACAGCCATGGTAGCTTATCGAAAGTGTGACCAGAAGCTTCTAGTCAACAGTTTACCATAATGATATCACAAAGCTTTCAATGCAAAGTAGTTTTTAATTGCGAGTAAATTATGGCCGCTCAACAATATCCATCCACAAAGCATAACAAGATGTAGATTACCAACATCATTACATTGAAACGTAAAAGCAGTCATCGTTTAAACAGCAAACAATGCTTTTTGGTAGCCTTTGTTTTTCATACGTATTTATACATTGCACGCGATTACCTTGACTAAGTTTATTGCTTTACACAGCCCCTTTCTTAAAGTTGTTTTAAGTTGCGGTACAGTCTTCTTGTGAGAACTCAGGATAATGTTCCTCGTACCGATATTTCTCTTACTGTAGGTACTCTTAAACTTTGACGTGAATAATCGTAATTAAAATATAGGTATGCGAGATTAAAAACTGCAGTCGAGGAAATTACGGGAGCTGTGCAGTCCGCCCGGGACGAGAGGCGAAATATTAAAGATGAGCGCAAAGATAAAAAGGAGGGGGATCGAGATAAAATGGAACGGAAAAAGGAATTTCGTGATCGATCTGAACATAGGTAACGTACCGGCGTTGATTCTTTCTTTTAAAATGAGCTCTTAGGTCTGAGAGGATGTCGACGGAGTGGCGCGAGAAGGACAAGAAGGACAGAGTGGAGAGACGTGACAGAGATCGTGAAAGGGACAAACGCGAACGAGACAGAAAGCATAGGGACCACGACCGCGATTCCGGTGAGCTAGATCGTTTCGTGGGCAGATTGTGACTTTTAATTCCAGGGAGAGACTCGAGAAGTTCACGTCATTCTCATCGTCATTAGTTGTTATTGACCAGTAAGGCCACTCCACTCAGGTAGGTGGTATTCTTATTGTTATTCTGCTTCTTTTACAGCCTGACAGCAGGTTAGTGATGTCTTCCCGTTAATTACTCAATTTCGAAAAGATGGGGTTACACTTTTTCGATTACATGTTTTTCATAACCCCAGCTTGGAGAAATACATGAATTTTTTCTGAAAGCACTAAACGCACCTAAACGCATTTCGTAATTAAAAGTGTTTTTGCGATGTGCTTAGAGCTTTCAATTTTGTATTAAAATCCATTTCCAATATAGTGCAACATCGGATCATCCACGCTCATACATTCTGTTTGTTTTTTTGTTTTATTTTTTAATAAAATTGTTGGTTTAAATATCTGGTCTTACACCATTAGTTGATGTTTTCAGCGGTAGCAGTCGGTCGAGTAATGGCCAGACAGATATTCGATTCTTAGTTTCGTACGTGCCTTTTTATTGAGGTATTTATAGTATTGACATTTGTTATATCTCTCTCTGACACCATTTGTTTGTTGTATTTCCTGTTGCAATCTTCTTTAAAACATGAGGTATTTATATGTAAACCGAGATGCAAATATGCTTTACCTTTTTGTATTTTTTTTGTTTTATGTGTAAATTTATTTTTTTATCGAGAGAATTTAAAGCATATTTGCTGTAAACTCTACCTCCTCACAATAGCCCGGTGCCACAAACTGCCTTGACAATTATCACACTTGGATCTTTGCAGTTGACACAGCAAAACAGGTGAGCCTATCAAATCAAGTTACAATGGTTACAGTGGTCGACTTGGAAAATGGTTTCCGCACCTTTTTAACTATGGATATTTGCTTCAAGATTACGAGGTGACACTTTTGTTTTTTTTTTAATATGCTCACACTGTAGTTCAATTAAATTTGACGTATTATTTATTAGTTTCGAAACGTACCTATTTATCGAATAAACGTTCTGTTTAGTTCTAGAAATGTTCATGATATGTGTCCTTTAACCAAAATAAATACGTGCAAATATATGGAGTTTCATTTTTCCTTGCGTCATAGTTTAGCATTCTTTGAGAAAGAACACAACAGCTGACGTGTAATGTTGGTGAATGTTCTAAGCAAAGAGGAATTGTTTTTTTCCTCTTTGGTTGTAAGTTACAATGTACAAAGTTTATTGTTTTAGGAACCACTTCCTTTTTACAGTTATTTGAATTGAAGCGTGATGAGGTAACATTTCCATAACCCCTTCATAGGCCAGTCAAAATCGACAATAAATCAACAAAACATGATGTATCTCTGATTTTTTAGTATGTTGTTTGGACCCATTAGAGTAGTGTATACTCAAGTTTGCAACTCTCTAAAAGTTGTGGGAAAAGTGTAGTATACGAAAAACCGCGAAATTTTCGGACTTTTTGCAGTGTTTGGGTTATATTTCCTTAACTAGACATTTTTCGACGAAAGTCACTATACGTTTTTGAAGAGTATTAATGTATAACAATTTGCGCCTAACCCGAGCTCTGTAGGTCAATTAGTTACCGAATTACGGCACTTTGAAGATAGTCATTTTTTTCCAAAAAGTGAACATTTGAGTTTTACACCTTCTTTAGATAGAAATTGTGGCTAAACTATTGACCCTACGCGTAGAACTTATGAAATAGAAGTTGTAGATAATTTAATTAGCTTTAAGTTAAGCGTAAAGTGGGGTCTGCAGGTCTCGTAGTTCTCTCTAAATCTCAAAAAACCGATATAAGGTAAAATTGCATTTATTCAGAAATGTTCCAAAAGCTTTTTAGCGCATTTCCACAAAAATAAAAAAAAATGCGCTATTGTGGCCACTTTGTCCGTCCGTCCGTCCTCTCGTTTTGCGACGCTATTAGTTCTTTATCTTAAGAGCTATTGTTCTACTTTTTTCGCTATTTGGTTCGTTATGGTGTCGAGTCTTGCACCAAGGAAGGAATTTTTTCTGTACCGCTTACAAAAAAAGTTATTGTAAAAAAAACAAAAAGCCGTTTTTTACATGTTCCATAATTTTACACTTTTGCCGTTTATTAACGATCCTAGAGATCGTTTATAATTTTGTATTGCTGTCTGTCTGTCCGTCTGTTCCTTTGTCTGTCTGTCCCTGTATCAGTCCGTGTGAACGATAACTTTGTTTAGAAATGTCCGATCGCTTTTACATCTCCGTTAGTTAACTGAATTGCATGAAATTCAATATGGGCATAGCTTTAGCCATATAATACGCAATGCCAAAAGTTGAGTCGAGTCGATTCAAAATTCACAGTGCCCTTTTCGCATCTCGACCATTTATAAACCGAATTGCAAACTTTTTTAATTATAAAAGTATTTAAATAAAATTTGATACAGAGCCACTTGGAATAAAGGAAAATCAAACGCCAGTTTCAAAATTTGGTTTTGCGCATGCGCAGTGCCAATTTTTTTATTTATGGAAGAATTTAAGCGAAATTTGATACATAGGCACATGGAATAAAGGAAAATCAAACGCCAATTTCAAAATTTGGTTTTACACATGCGCAGTGCCAACTTTTTTATTTATGGAAGAATTTAAATGAAATGTGATACATAGGCACTTGGAATAAAGGAAAATCTAACGCCAGTTTCAAAATTTGGTTTCGCGCATGCGCAGTGTCAATTTTTTTATTTATGGAAGCATTTAAATGAAATTTGATACATAGGTGCTTGGAATAAAGGAAAATCTAGCGCCAGTTTCAAAATTTTATTTTGCGCATGCGCAGTTTCCCACTTTCTTTTTTACGATTGATTACCACCTGGCCTGTTGGTCATTATGGCCCGTTGGAAATTTATAAGTATGTGCTGTAATAGACAGCATTAATGTAAGTTTCTTGCACTCTTAATAAATTATTAACACGTTTCTCTCATTGGGGTTGAAGTTAGGTTGTTCATTATAACATTATGTGTTTATTTAAGTGTTTGACAAATGAATTTATCATTTTTTGTCGTATTTTGAAAGTGCTGAAACACAGTTATAGGCTTAGTCTTTCATAGTCTAAGGTTATAGGCGACGCGCCTCGTTTGGATTATGTATATTTTGTTACTTTTAATTATCAGCTGCAATTAAAAAATGTATATTCTAATTGATTTTCGAGAAAGGAATACTTTAAGATGAAGCAAAAAATGTTTTTGTGGTGCACCGAAGAGCCCCCCCCCCCTCCGCAATAGTCATTACACTAATACTTTAATGGCCCGTAACCGGCGTAACCTATGCAATTCCACCTGGCCTGTAAGTACCCAGTCCGCCCCTGATTGTCTATGTGCGGTTTATGATGGTTCTTTGAGGGTCATAATGACAAATTTGAATACAGCAAACAAAATTATTTTAATTAAACAGGTGTAGCAGGTAATTGAATCAATTCGTGGATGAAATGAACAAAACAATAAAATAATGAGTGTGCTAAAAGAAAGTAATTAGACTTCTAGTATAAAAACAGTCACGTCAATCCTCGCAGGCAGCCGCCAACTGCAAATTGGTCGCCTGTGAGGTGTACATACACAAATTTTGTTATTATATTTCCATAGCTATCTAGCCCATGCGAAAAAGATCGACATCAGTTTTGTTAAAGTCACTAAATATAGAAAGTACCGCAATCCATTGGGCCCGTATGTTAGAGAGAGAACGCATGATTTTTGCCCAAAAATGGCGGAAATTACCAGATTCTAGTAACTTTAATGTTAGGGATTGTTCCCCCTGTTTGGAGATATCTGTATATATTTTTATAAAACATGACAGTACTATGAAGTTAGGTTATAAAAAATTACAGCTATTCAAATTTTATTTGTCAATTTTTGTAAGTTGGCAGCAAATTTGCCCAAAAATGGCGGATGATTGCGGTACTTTCTATATCTAGTGACTTTAAGTTTTGTAATGGGCGCCTACCTGCGACTGTTCTTATACTAAACGACGTATAGAATTAGCATTGCGATTGCAGTTTTTGCTTTGCTTGTATCTGCAATCGCCGACGCCTACGCAACGATGTGCAATTTTGTTTGGGTATAAAGATACTAGATATCGAAATGCTTCTCAGCTAAATTTTTAACCATTAATAACCCATAAGATCCTGGCCCCATCTAAACAACATTATTGTATAGATGGGACCAGAACCCCACCTGGCTACGGGCCTGAAAGCCTTTGCTGCAATGTCCGACTTGATTGAAAAGCATAATGTTTTATGGATTTAGGGGAAAAATCCCTACGCCGTTTTGATAAAATTATTTGTTTACCTTTGAACAAATGGTACGCTAGCGCATTCTCAAAAACGACATGTTTTGGTTTTTTGTCCATAACTTCGCTTTTTGTAGTGCTACAACAAACTTGGAAAGGGAAAATTATTCAGCATAAAATTCTATATAACTTTGTTACTGAGCGCTTTACGGTTTACGAGTCGCCACACTCCATAGTATTTGAAACGAAAACAGCTCACCCTGTATAAGATGTTTTTGTAGTAAAAGCAGTTTTTATTTTTTAACAGGGAAGGGGGCGTGTGCATTTTTAGTTTTTAGAAAGGGGGTTCCATAGAAAGAAGTTTGGGAACCACAGCTCTAATATAAAGGCAGACGGACAGACAGACATGAATTGCGCATTTGATCAATTTTTTTTTTGAAATGCCCTAAAATGCTCAACACTTTTCTAAAGTCATAGGAACGCAAAAATTTGAAAGGTTAATAATTTTTGAACTGCTTGGTAGGATCTTTTATCATTTAAATAAATCGTGAACGTTTTGTACAATCTATGAGTGATTGCAAGAGTGTCTTTGAATTTGGGAAGCGGTTTTGCCAAAACCGCCAGGCAACAGCCTTTTAAATTGACCGAGTGACCCATTGACAGAACGCAGAATTTTTTTAATTAAATAGGGCTCAAGCTTGAGGTGCCAGCCATGTCGTGAAACGATTAGGGAACACATTCTAGCCAGTTTAAAACAGGACAGGATGGGACAATAAAAAGGCCCATCATCAAATAAACTATCGAAAAGGCTGTAAATTTATTATGGGTGTTTGCAACAAATATTTTGATTATTTTCAAGGTAACCGTTTAGGTTCTGTTGACTAATTTCCCGGCTCCCGAAATTTGAGTTTGGTTTCATTTTCAACAGTAAGAATTCTCAGTTAAATTAATATTTAAAATTTTGCATTGATAAAGATTGCGTGCTAAATTGTATACAGATCAATAATGGCAATAAAAGATAAGGGAAATAATTGGATGCGAACGATGTTTATCGCTTGCTACACACTTGCAGGCCTGCATGTTGTCTAGGAAAGATAACGAGGCAGGTGCAAACTGATTGTGGCGAGTGGGATTTCCAATATTCCACTATTGGGTATACGTCCGACAATAATTTTATTAGTTGTGCGTGTGTGGTGTAACAATTAAGTTTTTTTCCGCAAAACTACAAATTAGGTACACTAAACGAAGAAATCAAGCAGTATTTAGCACTGCGTGTCCAAGTTTGTATCTAGCAAAGGCTGCAGACTTGAATTTTCCAACCAAAAGGCCATCCGATCAAAGAAAGGTGTAAAAGCAGCAGCTACCATCCTCCTCCAAAGGGACGCGCGACGGGTAAGTAAACTGTTTAGCTGATGGGCATTAGGTACCTATATATATATTGCAGATTCTCCTGCACTTTCTACGGCAAACTCCATGTTACATTTTTTTAAGCACCGATCTTTGCAACCCTGGTACTGTTCATTAGTTTATTGCTTTCATACCTACTTTTAGCGGTCTCGCCCTCAGTCATTAACACATAATCCAAGCCCCGCTGCCTGCGATTAATTAGAAATTTAATTTAATTATCACGCGGCTCATGAGAGACGATTTTTTTCGTAAAAAAGTCATATTTAAGGGTTGCACATTGTACCTACATGGAGTGAAAGGGCTGCATAGCCCAATTTTACAAGAAATAGTCGTCCATAATATATCAGCTAATTGTATTAAAATTTGTGTCTTATTAGGCGATGCGTCAAGGTCTCGTTTTTGGTGTGAATAATCAATTTCATCAAT